AATAGGAGGTTGAGGCATCCTCATAATTAGCCAACAACCTAATGGGCAAAGCAACAAGCAAGAGAATTGAAAGAGGAAGACATGGAAATGTCCTGAAAATCTCTTAAGTCAGCTCTAGTCCGACTGGCAGTAGAGTAATAGGTCAGTGGATTGTTCCACAACTTAGAAAGAATGTGGAGAACTTTTTTCAAGGTTCAGAAAAAAGGAACTTAATGACAAGTAGCTGAGTTCAGCTTGTGCAGACTTTAAGGAACCGATGTATTTATGGGAATTAAAGGTGAATTATACAGAAATACATTTTTGTATAGCTCTATCAAAGTGCTACATGAGGAATATTAAAATATAGCAGTTCAAAAAGCATGAAATCCTGTGAAGTCTCACTGAAGGAGGTTCTACAGCCTTTTTGTGAACCCACAGAATTCGGGTGTGGTGTAAAAACCACTTTCTTAGCAGGCACAGAAGTCCTTTGAAGGACTAGCTCTCAGCTGTGACTGTACATCAAAATCACCTGTGATGCCTTCTAAGCATGAACAACAGGGCCCCAGCTCAAATCTAACAAGTCAGTATCTGCAGGGTTGAAGCCCAGCTGCTGTTTTGTTTTTTTTTTTTCTTCTTTAAATGACACAACTGACTCTGGATTGGCAGCCAAGGTTAAGAACCACTGCTGAAGAGCTTTGGATTAAAACAAGCAGGAAAAGAAACCCACAAAATCTTACAAAAGACAAACAAACAAAAGCAAAATATAGTTCTTTGAAAAGACGAATACACCCCTGTTAATATTAACCAGAAAAAAGATTCATGTCACCCAGTAACAGTAATGAAAAGAGACATCACTAGAACAATGGAGATCCTAAGGTCATTAAAAAAAAAAAAGAGGGCGCCTGGGTGGCTCAGATGGTTAAGCGTCTGCCTTTGGCTCAGGTCATGATCCCAGATTCCTAGGATCGAGTCCCGCATCGGGCTCCCTGCTCCTCGGGAGCCTGCTTCTCCCTCTGCCTCTCTCTCTCATGAATAAATAAATAAAATCTTTGAAAAAAAGAAGAAAGAAAAGAAAAGAAAAACCATGAGGTATTATGAAGTTTCTGCCAGTAAAATTTAAGGTTTAGATGAAATGGACAAATGTCCAATAATTTTCAAAATTCACATAAGTAACCCACCCAAATATGAAAATGCTGTATGTATGAAAGAAACTGCATTCATAATGAAAACCATGCCTACAAAACACACAGTTCTAAGCTCAGATGATTTCAAAAATGAATTCTTCCAGACATTAAGAAATATTCCTATCTTATCCAAACTCTTCCAGAGCACAGAAAATGAGAATATTTCCCAATTCATTCACTAAGGCCAGAATAACCTTAATACCAAACCCATGATAAGGCCATAATAAGAAAAGGCTAATCTCTCTCATAAATATACACGCAAAAATTCTAAAAATATGAAAAATTCCATGTACATATAACAGTATCATGATCAGTATATTTTGGCAACACATGGTTGGCTTAACATTTAAAATTAATAAATGTAATTCACACATGAACAGAAAAAAGGGAAGACCCACGTAATCATTCTAATAGGTATAGAAAAAGCATTTGATAAATTTCAACATCCATTCATAATTAAAAAAAAAAACCCTTTGCAGAATAGGAATAGAAAGAATCTTCATTTATACAATAAATGGAACTTACAAAAAGCCTACAGCACACTTAATGGTGAAATATTGAAAACTTTCTTCCCTGATATTAGGGGACAAAGATGCCCACTATCACCACTTCTATTCAGCATTGTATCAGAGGCCCTCGAGTATGATCAGGCACGAAAAATAAATGTTGCAAGGACTTGCAATGAAGAACTAAAAGTCATCATTCACAGATAACATAATTATGCATTGAGAAAATATTAAAAACTACTGATCAACTATTAGAATTAGTAAGTGAACTTATCAATATCATTGGATACAGAGTTGATATAAAAACATCAATTTCTTTCTCAAATTTGTCTCATCCTTGTGCAGGGGCCATGATACTCTTCTCTGTATCGTTCTACTTTGTGTATGTGCTGCTGAAGGGAGCACATTTCTCTAGATACCAGCAACAATTAAAAATGTAATTCCAAAAGTGACAACATTTGCAATAGCTTGAAAAACATCAAAGATCTAGGAATCGATTTATGAATGATATGGAAGAACTCTGTAAAGAAATTAAAGAAAACCTACATAAACAGGATATATTGTGTTCCTAAATTAGAAGATGTCAGTTCTCTCCAAATTGTCTATAGTCACTGTAAACCTAATCAAAATCCCCAGAAATCTGTGTGTGTGAAACTGACGAACTGATTCCAAAATTTATAGGACAATACAAAAGATTAAGAATGGACAAGATGATCTTGAGGACGTTCAGAACTGGACAGGTTTATTGTACTGGAAATCAAGACTGATAAAGCTACACGAATTAAGACAGTGTGATATTGGTAAGAGTAGACAAACATACTCATGGAACAAACAAAAGGGCCCAGAAGTAGACCCCTACATAGACACTTGATTTATGCCAAAGGCACAGCACTGGGAAAAAAACAGTAAATGGTGCTGGGTCCATCAGCTCAACAGGAAGGGTCAAAAAGCAAAGCTTCTGGGAGATTACACAGAATGTCTTCTTGACCTTGGATAATGATCTCAACAGGGCACAATAAGCACTACCCGTGAAGGAAAAGAAAGAGTCAATTAGACTACATTAACATTAAAAAATTGTTTTCATCAAGCCATCAGGAGCAAGAAGCCAGAGGGTGAGAAGATCTACGCAATGCCTATAACCAAAAAAGTTTCTGTAACTGGCTATATTTTTTAAAACCCTTACATATCAATACATAGCAAGACAGTAAATCCAACAAGAGTCGGCAAGACTTAACTAGGTATTTCACAAAAGAGAAGAGCCCAAGCCAATAAGCATATGAAGAGATGCTCGACGTCGTTAGTGGGCAAGTCCAAATTAAAACGGTATCACGCACCAGCCATGATGGCTAAGCTTAAAAATACTGACAAAACCAAATCTTGACAAGGATACGGGGCAACTGGAGCTCATAAACTGCCGGCGGGCGGGCGGGGGGACGGTTCAGTTGGTATAACTGCATTGGGAAACTGTGAGGCAGTGCCTGGTAAAAGCACAGCCCTCTCTCCCTGTGACCCAGCTCTCGCGCTCACTGTTCCATGCCAACAGAAATGCATTCGCGTGAGCATCGAAACGCACGCACATGAATGCTCCTAGCAGCATTATGGGTAGTAGCCAAAAACTGGAGAGAGTTCAAAAGACGATTAGCAGAATAAATGGTAAGGTACAGTCATACAAAGAAAGAACAGTAACAAGCAATGAAAATGGCTAAACTAAGCTACAGTGAATCGCCCCTTCGATCCCAGCTCTGCTTCATCAGTCTTCATTCAGGCCTTGCCTCCGGTTCATTCATTATCTAAACTGTTGTATGTGTCTACTTCCCACTTCTTTCTTGAAGCAGGTAGGGTAAAAATGAGTTTATATGGCTTAGGGTTCTTAAAGGAGCTAACAAATCCAAACACAAGCAGGTGGCAATTCCAGCAAACTAAAGAAAGTCTAGACCCAGTGTCAAGGGAATTTATGCTGAGGTCAAGTGCCCTGACCAAACCCTTGAAAAATTTTAGGTTGAGTCATGTAGGTTTCTCCTCGCCACCACCCCCCCGGCCCAGCCTCCCACCCCCCACCCTCATCCTTCTTTTTCACAATCCTTTTAACACATAAAAACCATGCTTAGCCTGAGGCAGTTTGTGGACCCCTTAAGAAACCGGGCTGTACCTAAAGCAGCCAGCAATGTGCGGACAAAGAAATGACTTCTCAGTACTCCCCCTGGTGACTTGAGTGAATCCAAATGAAAGTACCCAACGCCACACATACAAACGTCCATCTGTTCCTTTCTTGGTCAACTATAGATCCCCCACAGCTGACCAGGAAGTGACAAATGTGGAGAGGCACAAAGCAAAAGATTTTGCAAGACTACCAAAAGGCAGCTAAGCAGTTGTTAAAAGGCTATGTAGAGAAACTATCAAGAGTTAGCATCCTGGTTTCACTACTTAAAACATCTAGGACCTTGGACAAACCAGTCCCCACCATCATCCCAGGGCTGTTACGTTAAGTGAAATAATATAACTGTGCACAGTACTCAATAATGACAGAGATCAAAAAGGGAACTGCAAATGGTGGTACTTGGAAGCTTAAGCAGTACAGCAAATCAATGGCAAGAAAATTGATCAATTTCCCATGAAACAATTACCTCTGCAGTGAGCTTTCAAACACAAAAGCACTTCTGAAATTCTGTAAAAGATGGTCTACCACTAATTTAGTCAAATGTAAGAAAGTCCATCTTAAGAGAATAATTTTTTCCTCTTCTAAATTCTGCAAATTACAGGAGCACCTGGGTGGCTCAGTCGGTTAAGCGTCTGCCTTCAACTCAAGGTCATGATCCCAGCGTCCTGGGATCGAGCCCCTACAGAGAGCCTGCTTCTCCCTCTCCCTCTTCCTCCCGCTCTCCTGCTTGTGCTCTCCCTGTGTCACATAAATAAATAAAATAAAAAAAAAAATTCTACAAATTACAAAGTAGGTACACTTACATGCAGTGCAACTAGCAAATGGGACGGAAGACACCAGTCACCACTAGGTGCTGCTCAAGAATCACTTCTCCCCCAACAAGGTTCTCAAACCTTTCATCTGCTTTTTTCTCTTCTTATTATTTTTTTAATAATTTTTTTTATTATGTTATGATAGTCACCATAACTGAAACATGACAAATGCTTACTGAGTCCACCTATTTCCGGAAAATATGTGTTTAAATGAACACCTTACGTAGCACACCAAAGGTACAACAAATACTTTTATTGCACATTTATAAAATCTGCATAGTTATATCAAGTGTTCTTCCCGCCCACTATTCCCTCATTCATGTTAAAATTTGGTTAAAACACAATATCCAATCTGGAGCCTTTTAAAAATGGTCAACAGGGGATATTTCTCTCTCTACATATACATATATATAGATTTTTTTTCTTTTTACAAAAGCCACAGCCCTTCTCTTTCCAAAGCAAAAAAAAAAAGGGGAGGGGCATCTAAATGTTCTTTCGGGCCAGCAGCAGCCTTAGACATCTGTTGTTGACAATTTTCAGAAGCTAGAGGTTTTACTGAAATGGTGAACAACTCTCACAACGCTACCCTACCCTGTCTCGATCACGTTTCACAATGCCGTTCCGTCTGCGGTCCTTAGTGCTTTGTTTTTTTTCACTCGGGACTGAGTGTGAGGTTTTCTGGTTTATTTAAAAATATAAAATGAGAGAGAGAGAGAGAGAGAGAGAGAGAGAGAGAAGAGAGGAAAGGCAGCTTTCTTTTGACTTTGCAGCATCTTGCTGCCACGTGCCCTTACATTTCTACCCACATGTAAAAGGGCGGCAGTTCATCAGTAACCCACTGTCATCTCCTGTCAAGAGACCGGCAGAGGTTTAGATTTCTCATCTCTTGCAGTTAAGAACTTTTAAATGTCACCTGTATTTGATAAAATAACTAGTAGCTGTTCATCTGGTTCAGGTTCTGATGGATCACCCTTCTATTCCACTGTCAAAAATATTTATGCCTGAAGGATAATTTTAAAAGCAGTAAGAGGCCTACCAAAGCCCAAGCACTCTTGCAGGTACAAGAGGCATTTCAGGTCTTCTGACATAATTCAATACCTTAATATACAACGGTTCTTGTTTTTTTTAGTGAAATTGCTTTTCTGATTCTGTACCTAAAAAGTGCAATTTTATTTTCAATCCTTCTTTAGCATGGTTGGGGTCTGGATCTGAATCTTACTTTCCCACCTAATCCCTTCCCCCAGGGGAAACACTGTGACAACAGACTTCTGTACAACAGGCAGGTAGCCGCAGACCAAACTGGGCCTTGACCATGTGGGGGCTTATTTCACTGTCACAGTTGAAACCCCCTGAATTGACTCCATGACAGCTGCAAATCGGCTACAAAGGTCATAGGGAGAATTGGGCCGAATGGTCGGAGGCTCCTTCAGGACAATGATTTCTGCAGAAGGATCCAGAAGCCTGGGTAGAAACTCTCCTAAGCACAGCTGTAGATTTTCTGTGGAGGGAAAATGGATGGTTACATACACAGCTAAACAGTTCTGAGTAAAAACCAGTTAAGTCTGCAACTGTAATGGGAAGGCCTTCCATAGAGCCATTGTTCCCCAACTTCAAAGGTCAAAGCATTGGGCTGACCAGCTAACAACAAATGATGATTCCTTCGGCCCAAATCAGGAGCAAAGACTCCTTGCCAAATATACCAAAACGTTAGGTCACTGCTAAACCATGTGATGTGTGGCAGGATAACATCAAATATTCATTATTCATTTCACTGACAGGCCTTCTAATCTATCATCCATTTAAAACTTGAGAAAGTGGTTAAGATGCTCTACGCCATAAATATAACGGTGCTATTTCCTTTCTATGATCAAAACATACAAGTGTGTATGCATGGCATTATAAGTAAAGCTATGTATCACACGTAGTCTAAAGGAAAACTGAAGACATTAAAAGGAAATTTGTAACTATTAAGTATAGAATTTTCCAGTAAATATTATAAACATGAATACTTTAACAAGTCAATACAATATCTTTACATCAGTGAGAAACTAACAAAGAGGCTTCATATTAGAACATACACCAACTTTCTAAGGCTACCAGAATTCACCTAAAAATGACTAGTTTTAGGTTCCCTCTCCAAAATCCTTTGGACAAGCTAGGCAATTCTATTTACCATTTTATGAATCGTGAGGGCATCACAGTTAATAAGAGGTGTTCTGTCTTGCAACTTCAAGTCATGGGAAAATTTAGTTATGGCACCACTAGGTAATCAAACATCATAAACAGATTTTGATTTCTAAGCTACAGAGTTCAGATTTTGACAGATGAAAAGGTAAGACAAGTCTGACATTCCCGGAGAGGAGTAATTTTGTCAAACAGGGCTTGCAGGCTCTCTGCAGGTGCTTCAGCAGCCAGAGAGGAGGTAAGGGGAGGCTGAGGGGGACAGAGGTCCAGGATCCTATCCTTTGTTTCAGTAGAGCAGATCCACTCACTCATATGCTTCAATAAGCCTTTAAAAAGGTTTGATGACCAGTGCTATACAGTGAAAACACTGTGACTTCTAAAGTCTGAAGAGGCGTAGATATTGCAAAGTGCCAACAACAACATACCAGCGATATCCTGCCCAAGGTAAGAGCACCAATGGTTTCTCATGATCTCGATGGCATGTAGGTCATCCTTGGAGATGTCATTATTAATGATAAGGTGAATGCAGGGAATGATCAACTCATTCATCACATTAATGCCCTCGCTTACAGAGTGGTCATCGTTTGTTTCAAAGAGAGAAGCTGCTTTGGCATTCAGCTCCTACAGGTAAAAAGCAGAGCGGGGGGTAAAAAACAGTCTGAAAAAGATAAATACCTATTTTAGAAGAGCCTAAACAAGTGGTTCCCCAAATTTCCCATGTTGCCTGGGAATCTTTACAAACTACTGATGCCCCACCTGAGACATGCTGATTTGATTGGTATGCAGGTGACCAGGGCACTGGAATTTTTGCAAAAGCTCCCAAGGTGATTCTAATGCAGCAAAGTCTGTGACCCACTTCCCTAAACTTACAAGTCAAGGTCTTGCCTACCACTTGCTTCTACAGAAAGGCTTATTCAATGGCTCTCAATCTCCACTGATCATCGGAATCACCCGCAGAAGACACGCTGATGCCCCCAGGCCCCTTCCCAGAGCCTCTGGTCTGACAGTCTGGGGAGGAGTCGCCTCAGTGTGAAAGCTCCCAAGTGACTCTCACACACACAGGGGGTTGCGAGCCAGTGATGGGAAGAGCCATAAATCACCATTACCACTGACCGGTGGAAGATGAGCAGGACATTCAGCATGTAATCTGTACTTGGTGATTTAAAGCATAATAAAATTCAGATCCATCAAGTCTACAAGGCCCTCTTTTCAGCTTCAAAATGCCCTGCCACACCCTGTAACTGATACAGAAATCAAGGGATACATCAGAAAATGAAGCTCTTGAGACGAATATGTCATGACTTAACCTCCTCCATTTGGTATTAGCAAAGGCAGTGGCAGAAATCCTGGCTGGATTCTTCCCAGGATGGGCAATCCTGCTGGGAGGCTCACCGTCTGAGGGCAAGCCAGCTCTCTGCAGTTTTCCGAAGGACAAGCACCTGTATACCTCAGCCAGGCCGAGGGGATAGGGGTCTGTCACACCCCGTGACTGCCAAATGCAAAAGAGGCCAGGCTAGACCTTCAGTGTTGCACGACAGTGATATTAACAAAACAGCAGGACCAATACTTATGGTTTATACCATTTAAAAAAAGAAAAAAAGAACACTGGAGTCTCTCCGGAGTCGCCAAAATTCTCATCTACTAGCTTAGCAGGGAACACTGCACAGAACACAGAAAAAACACTGCATTCCTTCAACACATATCTGTTGCATGCTCACAAGGTGCCAGGCAGAGAAAACTGTGGCAGAAGAAGAGTCTGTGCTCAAGGAACTCACGACCCAGGAGAGATATGCAAGTATACACAAAGGAAAAGGGGCAATTGATTCTCATCCTAACTTCTGTCAGGGGTCAAAGAAGAATGATACTCATTTAAGTAACTTAAAATCATTTGTTTCAATGTACGACTACTCTTAAGAGTTTAGAAAAATCTTAAAACCTATTGAAGATTATTCTGTTTTTTAAGCTATATTTCTTTGTGGCTTCAAGGAACAGAGGTGAAGACAATAAACTAATACAAATCATAAGGCTCTACAAACAGTACACACCAGAAGGCATTTTCTTCGGTACAAAGCGATGACCGATTCCTTTACCCCGCGGCGGGGCCCCTTCAGCAGCAGAGCGGCATTGCTCTGGTAAGCATAGACCAGGTAGGAGAGTGCCTCTTGGTACCTGAGAAAATGGTAGATCAATTGAGGGCTTTGACCTCTCTGTCCCCCGGTACAAACGTCTGCAAGGCTGCAATTATGGAACGGTCCTGAGGACAGAAGCAGCGTGGTCTGCTGGGAAAAGCCCGAGGGCCAAAGACAGAGGCCACTCTCAGCTCCTTTGCAAACTGGTCAAGGAACCCAAAGCGAATCATGAAACTTCCCTGCGCTTCCGTTTTCCTCAACCCTAACCCAAAGAAGGTGACTGCGTGCTTACTAAGGTCCATCACAACACTAAAATTCATTTTCTGGGTTCATCTTCACTTATCACAAGGAAAATCTGGCTGTTACATATCTTTATCACCATATCTACCACTACATAAAGGATGAAATACCACGTGTGATGCTTCATGAAACAGTGGGAAACGCAGAGGCGCCCTGGTGCGTGGGGACGGGCTGGGGGGAGGTGAACGGCTACGGTTCTCAGAATCCGCAGCTGGGCATCAGGAGTTAACAATGCCCTGACCAATAATCCAAGAGACAGAAAAGGCCCACATACTTTCCTTTTTGGTAGAGTTCCAGGCCTGTGAGGAGATACACAGACACCTTTCGAAACAAACTATAATCTTCGTGCCACTTCTGAAAAGGAATGAATGCCATTAGCGATTATGGTCACCATAAACTATTTCTATACTTCCCACTGCGGTCAGTTGCACACTCCATACAAATGCTTATCGAGCACAAAAACCACAAACACAAAAGCTTTTCAATAATGACGTATTCACCATTTACGATCAAAGTCCACTCCTGACCTTAATTTTCAGTGACCTGTTACTTCCACTGAGGGACAGAAATATTTATTTCACGTGAGCTTTAGAATGTATCATCTTAATTTCCAACACCCCTGTCAAAGTCATGCAGCTCTGGTTTAAACAGATGACTGTCAAGGTCTCACAAAACCGTGCACGTGCAGGAAACATGGAAGGACACGGCTGTTCCGATCACCCAGAACAGCACTCAGCTCGGCAGGTGCTGTAGGCATACCCAGCTGTCACGGAGCACTGTGTTACTACTAACACAATGCTTTTTTTTGGAAATTTGTAGTTAAATATGCATTTTAATGCACAGAGATTTCATTTCACATATAGAATTATTTGAAAACAGTATTATTATCAAACAAACCAAAACCATGAATCAAGAATTTGATTGCCTTGGGGCACCTGGGTGGCTCAGTTGGTTAAGCGACTGCCTTCGGCTCAGGTCATGATCCTGGAGTCCCGGGATCGAGTCCCGCATCGGCGGGGAGTCTGCTTCTCCCCTTCCCCCCCCCCTCTCATGCTCTCTCTATCTCATTCTCTCTCTCAAATAAATGAATAAAATCTTTAAAAAAAAAAAAAAGAATTTGATTGCCTAGGTACAAGGCCAAAGTAGGTATTAAAAGGAAATAAAGTGTTAATTTATTCTAATAGAGGTATGAAACAAAGAAACTGGTTATTCTGAGGGTCAGAAAAGATCATTTATCTCTTCTCACCCAATTATTTATTTGGGGGGTGGGGCAGGGGAAGGTCAGTCTGTGATAACGCAAAACTGTTAGTTTGGCCTTAAGAATTAATGTTTTTGTTCTGTAGACTTAAAGAAAAGACTTCACCTTGTACTCTTCCATATTCATGTCATCTGGACCAATCTCCTTCAGTTTAGCTTGCGCCACCTTCATGATGCTGATGGATCTGTGTGGGACAAGGGTCAGAAAGCAGTGCAAGGTTCAGGGAACCGCTTTCCCATCAGGGGAGGCCCCTCGGCCCGACCCAGAAGCAGCGGGTGATGCGCCTGAGCATTCCTGTCTTACCTTTCATCATAGCTAAGATTTTTATCTGCAAACTGTTCCAGGAGGGTCCGTTCTACTACTCTTTTGGGCGCTTCATTTTGGAAAAAGTAGACTAGCACGTGCTGGAGCCGAGGGTCGCTGTGAGAAGTGGGCGTCTCTTTGGCAAGCTGGTAGAGCCTGGAGTATTCTTCATGGAATGCCTAGTAAGGACAAAACTGATAGTCCGAACAGGGTGCGCTGGGGGATTCTGCTCACAGAACCTGATGCCTATGGGCTAGAGAGGTTCTCGTAACTCCAAGGAGGCTTCTAAGAAACTCGTATTGGGGAATTAGAGAGGAAACCACGGAATCCCTAAGTTGTTTGCATTTCATGAGGGACAGAACTCCTGTGGCGCCAAAGATGTACTGCCCTTGTGAGAAATACGTTTTTCTCATAAGGCTCTAAGAAAAACAAATATTTAATTTTAATTAGTATCCTTGAGTCCCAAGGACCTGCAATTTAAAATGCAATTTATGCAAGTACCTTAAATTTTATTCAGGTAGCTTAAAAAGCATGACCTACTTTCTTGTATTGTGGCTCCCAAACTATAAAGGCAATGTCTCCTTCCCAGCTTTATTAATAGATACTTCCTAAGGACAACAGCCAGCCCTCCAGGCCAGGCCTAATATAGTTCGGCACAGCTCGCCAATGCTGTGTTAGCGCCGAGGGGAGGTGCTGTCAGTATCGTGGGAGGGCCTGTCCCGCCCGTCAGTTTGAATGGAAACAGAGTTTTAGGTGTTACTTTAAGGAGAAACATTCTTCAACCTTTTTTTTTTTTTTTTTTTACCATCTAATAAAATTATGTCCCCATTACTATGATACCTGTGGTATAAGGATTAGATTTTTAAAAAGAAATACCTTAATCAGCCCTGCTTCAGACCCATCTCGGTCAAAGGTCTGACGGGCTTTAGCTATGGCCAGGATGACCCCTTGCATGGCGGGGCTCAGCATCACCTACCACAAGAAGGCATAAAACACGGACAGAAAAAGGAGAGAAGAAAAGTTCAAAAGAAGACTGAACGGAAGGAAGGTGAGGGGGCTGCTGAAGGGAAGAGTGGCTGTGTGCCCATGGCCGGCATCTGCTGCCAGCTCAGATTCACACACCTGCCCCCACACACACCCACAGCCCCCGAGCCTGTGCACCCTGGCCAGACCTCGCCCAAGAAGAGCTGTTCCTACATACGCTAATTTAGCAGATAAATAAAGAGGGACATCTGAGAATATTTACAAACGGCACTGCTAAAGAATCAAGTTAAATGATAGCTCTCCCAGCGGAAGTGTCCACGGTGAGAATTCCAATGGAGTTCTGTAATTTGGCTGTGTATCCTAGGACACAAGTATTCTAGAGTTTTACTAAAATGACCAGTACATTTAAAACAGTCTGGAAATTAGATGGTATACAAATATCATTTTATAAAATCAAAACCGTTCAATGATTTAGAAACAAAAATATCCCACAGCAAGAAACAGAACCCTGAGGGACAGGATTCGTGACTGTGATGTGCGGTGCCAACTGTAAGGGGGACTGACCATAAGTAACTTGGGATCCCACAGCTTCTTCCAAAAGCTTAAGAATTAAAAACAACTTCAATTCACATTTGTTTTGCTCACCAGACAGCTGAAAATTTTAGATTTGGAGGGAAAACAATGGACTAATATTACCAAAGACAAAGGCTCCTTATTTAAAAGGCACTTTGTTGTTGTTGCTCATAATACCAAGAGAGGAACTAAGTGCTACCTTTCTGAGCCACCTAGCCTCTGAGGTGCCCCCAGCAGTATCCACCTGGGTAGACAGACACCGGGGGCAGCGTACGGTGGGAACGAGGCGATCTCTGACAAAATGGTAACTAAGGTCAAAACCAGACAGGCCTTCTTGTTCCTTATTTGTTCCAATAGTAACTACTGCCAGACACCCTCGACAAGTATATGGGGTCACGTGAGAAGGGAAGAGAAGACCGGGGACAGACAGCTGCACCCTGCGCTCATGTGTGTACCTCCTCATCATATCCACCTGCGTCAGATCTAACCAGAATCCTTCCCACACTGGGAATCTCCACTTCAGAGGCCTCAGAACTAGGCGGGGCGGCAGACTCTGCGTCCTTCGCCTGCGGGGCCTGCTCTGAATGCTCTGCAAGGTTTGTTTCCGGGGGCATGGGCTTCCCGGGTTCAGCTTCCTTAAGCTGTGGCAGCAGAACAGAGAGAAAGAGTGAGAAAAAACAGGAGAAAGAGGGACCAGTTAAATGCAGCAGAGACACAGAATCACAGAAAGGTGAGGAACCGGCGGTCGCTGCTGCGAGCCCGCCCCTCCTGCGCGCGGGCTTCCTCGGCCCTGTCACCTCGCTCAGCGCCGCCTCCACGCCGCTCCTCTCGTAGGCGTGCGCGCTGTTCGCGATGGCCTGTGCCGTCTGCTCCTTGACGATCACAGCGTGCTCCGATGCCAAGCAGCGGACCCCATGCGAGGCGGTTGCTGAAGGCTCTGGTAAGGAATGGTACAAAGGGATTAGCGTATGATGATAAACAACGTCTAGAACACTCTGTCGAAGGCAAGCAAGACAGACACAAAGTCTCATCTACAATGCTCCCAACAAACTTTTAAAACAGAATCTATGCAAACGTCCCCTGGAAATGAGTGACTCGAAGAAACGTCCGCTTCAGGAGGAACCCACTGATGGTTCCGGAAAGTTTAATGTGCTCCCGCTTTGTCCAATTTCTTTACGTCAGTGAAGACTTCCTACAAACGGCCTTCTGTTAGGAAGACTGTCTTTGGAGAATAGTTGTCTTGCATCTACTTACTCATCCTATTATAGCTTCTCCTACAACCTGGGAAACCGTGAAAACTAACAGACGGAAAGTACAGGGAGCTGGTCTTGCTGATACCGCTTCTGCGCATCAGAAAAGACATCCTAAAGCCACAAGCTATTCCGTCAGGTGGTGCAACACCAGCTACACCTGAACTACACATCATGCAGATTGTGGCACCCCTCACTCAGCTGAGGCGCCACAGCTGGCTGAGGGAGGGCAGAGTGGAGGCTACCAGACCGTAGGCGCGCTGGTGTGCCCCACCCTGGGGTACCTGGGGATGGAGAGAAATCCTGGGATGCGGAGCTGGTGGAGGATTCCATTTGAGGGATTTTGCAAGACTGCTCTTCTTCCCACTCCTCGACTTCCTGCTCAAACCTCCAGTTATCTTCCTGAATGTAATGCTTCAGTTCAACAGACAGGGCATCCACTTCGCCTAACATCTGATCTGATTCGCTTGGGGCTACCTCTGAGACAAGAACAAAGAGTTAAAATGCAGCACCATCCAGCAAAAGGTCACAAGGAATCAGAAGGTCCTTTCTAGAAAAAAGGAAATAAGACACTCTGTCCTTTCTCTTACTCCATGTGAAAAATACGCACATACATAACCCATCAGAAGTAATGACAATGTAAAGCCAACAGTCATAACACACCACTAACAGTGCCTGGCAGATTAGCAGGTAGGCACGCATGGAATATCTGTTGAATGAATGAATGAACGAACGAACGAATGATTAACAGAAAGCAGGGATTTGGAATAGAGGCCAATCACTGGCAAAATAGCAAGAACTGACCAAACATTTGGAAATCCAGAGAATCACTAGATCCAATGGACATTCCAAGTTGAACAGTTTTATCAATGTAAACACTACAACTGTTACTGATAAGAATATCCATCTCAAGATGGTTAGAGATGAATTCCAAGACATTTATACCGCCTCAAGTTCCATACCAGTGAGTGCGATCAGAAAGCAATGTGATACAACAGTCAGATGGCAAATAATACGTGGGGGATAATAAAAGGCCCGGATGAAAAATGACAAGGATATCAAGGACATATGAAATCTCATTTTTTTTTAAGATTTTATTTTTAAGTTATCACTACACCAAACGTGGGGCTCGAACTCACGACCCCAAGATCAAGAGTCACATGATCTTCCAACTGAGCCACCCAGGTGCCCCTAAATTTCATTTCTAAGCCTGGGACCAAATCAGAAAAAGAAGCCTACAGTAGAACAACATATCAACTTCCTGGGTGCCTTTAATTAGTCTTTTCATTAAGCAAATGACAGTTTCCATTTATCTGTTTCTGCAGGATGAAAATGAAGCATATGCATACTAACAAGGCTCCCTATACCCTACCAGCAATAGTCCGGCCATTTGTACAGTGTCCACAGGCAGCTGTCCCCGCTCAGGTGCTGCAGAGATGCAACTAGGAGGGTCGGTTACTGCTAAGTGAACACTCTGCCTACCCCCATCCCCCGGCCACACCAGGGGGTCAGAAAGACAACGCACTGCCTGGACAAAATGCCATCTGTGTTTCCTTACTTATTCAGCCCAGTACAGTTCGAATAGGAAAAGAAAAAGCCTTCCACAATCTTAGATGTGAAATGCTGGTCATAAGACCTCTCCCAGAAAGTGCGAAACGAAAAGAAAGAGAATGATGTAAATGGACGACAACATAGAATTTGGAGTCAGAACTGGGTCTGACTCCTGGGTTTGCCATTTTTTCCCTGGCTGTATGGAGTGGAGTACCTCAGCCGGCACACATAGGTAATAACAATTCCTACCCTGTCTTTTAGAGTTATAAGTTATTAGAGAAATAAAGTTTGAAAGCCTGTAGTAAGGAGTAAAGTTCCAATATAAATGATAATGATGATTGCTCTCAGAATTAGTAGTATTATGAGAAGGATGAAATTGTTCAGGCAAAGCCACTTGTAAAATTCAGCTATTCTCAAAGGGTGCAAAAACATGCACAAGGATGTCACTAAAAAAAAAAAAAACAACTAGAGACAACATAAAAGTCTATCAATGGGAGGCTGGTTTAATAAATTATATACATATCCCATGCAATGGGATTATGATGCAGTTGTTAAAAAGAGTGAGTTGGTTCTGTTTATAAAACTATAGAGATCACTGGGGTGCCTGGGTGGCTCAGTCATTAAGCATCTGCCTTTGGCTCAGGTCATGATCCCAGGGTCCCGGGATCAAGGCCCACATCGGGCTCCCTGCTCAGCAGGAAGCCTGCTTCTCCCTCTCCCACTCCCCCTGCTTGTGTTCCCTCTCTCGCTGTGTCTCTATCAAATAAATAAATAAAATCTTTAAAAAAAAACTACAGAGATCATTAATACACATGAGTGATGAAAAATGCAGGATAGAATGGAAAAATATCCCATTTGGAGGAAAAAAATGGGGCAGGGATAGATACTGATAAATAAAATTTAGCATCTGCCCAGAATAATTCCTGAATACTCCCTAAGAAACCTAAGAATGAATACTGCCAAGAATAATGCCAAGCTCCAGGATGGGAGCAGGAAAGGAAACTTATTTTTTTTTAAATTCTCTTTTATACTGTATTTTTAAAATGAAATATTATTTTATAATAAATTCTAAATTTTTTTTCAAAGCTAAAAGAGCATTCCCTTCTGTGAGCAGTAGAGATTTTCCCCATCTCTGGCTTCCACTAGGCTATTTTTACCTGCATTGAAGTGCGGTAGCTGGTCGTTAATGTACATCAGACAGTAAGCACTAACATTTCTCAGGCCCCCATAAGAATCTCTTTCAAGTTCTTCCCAGGAAGATTCAGTAACAGAGATGTCATTGTACTTGAGCCAGACTTGTCGGGGTTGATTATAGATATAGGCCCAGTAGTGTCCAGCGTTTGCTTGCCCTTCATGAACAAGAACAGCATGCAAGCGATAAGGCACCTGCAGAGCAGAAGACATATTCCTGAGGCAGATGAAGCAAAGTAAAGGAGACTAAATTTTAGGCTATTAAAATCCAAACTTATGGCCAACTATCAGACATAAAAAAACTGACTATATACATGTGCTTGATATAGGGTTAACAGTCTAACATCTTGACAATTCAATACAAACTAATAAAAACACCGTCTTGGAATCTACCAATTATGTTTCAATTCCTGAATGTTTAAGACCACACATCTGAACAAGATGGCTTCTTCGATGACTCTAACCTCCTAAAATCACAAATCTAAAGTCAAAGATAACACAGACCTATTTATCCCTCCCGCCAATTCCAAACTCGGTTTATCGAAAAATAGAAATCACCTTCACCACTCCTGTTGAGAAACGTGTACTGCATTTGGGACCCAGAGCAAGTTTAGCAGCTCTCTTGTACCATTTAAAGAATCTCTTACCAGATTTTATCTGGTACCAAATTTCAAGTTAGCACATTTCATCACGAATCAGTCATATGGTCCCTACATTTCTTCTGCCCAGTGACCTACCCACCCACCTATCTGGGGTGAGGACCCTTTTAACTCCATACTTGTTTGTTTCAGCGTTTGAAAAGCATTTGTTTTTTCAATATGGAGAAAACAGAGCAATGCTTTAGGTGTCAAGTAGGTACTGATGATAAGGAAAACTGGTCAGAGAATCAAGTTAAACCTGCATTCGACCACTACCTTGATAGGTTTTTCTGGTGGGGACATTTCTGAAATAATACAGAAGAGCCGAAGAAGAAAACCCAGGATTTCCATGAGACCTGGCAGCAGACGGGACTCTCCTCTGCCAGCCGTGCACACAGAAGCCACTGGGCGCTCGTGCCCCTGACCGTGGCTTCCTCCCCTCTCCGTGCCCACGATGTCATTCCCAACAAAAATTTATGCGGACAGTAAGAACTTCTGCCCTGACCACATTCCCTTCTGCAGTTTTCAGGGAAATAAAGCTTGAAAGCACGCTGCTAAAGCAAAGCATCACCAAGGATGATGATACTTTGGAAAGGGTGGGTAACCAGTCCCTGGTGGGGGTTTCCCCCATCACATGACTTAAAGGACCACTTGATGGGAAATTTTTAATACTGGACAGCAAATCTTTCTACTGTATGAAAAAATACCATGTGGCAGAATCAAAACAAATTATGTTTTAAATTTTATTGTTAGTAGAAGATACATTCCTTGTTTTGGCCTAAAAATAAACAGAAAAAATACCTATTTCTGTTCTAAGTTTATTCTTATAACTCAGGGAGGTTCCCATTCAGTCTCAAAGAAAACCATCAAATTTTCTTTTTGATCTACATTAGCACATGAGGACATGCCTTGACTACTTTCCCATCAATATCCATTCTACCTGACGAAGGAGAGGGTCACAATACATCTGCTCAATAGTCTGGGTGGTGCTTGCAATACAATTCTTTAAATCTGTTAAAAAAAAAAAAACAAAAAACACAAAAACAAAACTTAGTTAAAATGACGTCATTCCACGCCACACAGGGTGCTTCAGCCAAGCAAAAAGCACTGTTTCTCTGGGTTCTGACGATTTCACTTTTTTACTCTATGAACCATAAAGGAGTGGAGGCTTTCAAGGCAGCGAGTGCTTTAGGTTATGAAGACCTGCATGGGTCACTTTGGGTGTAAAATGGATATCCCTGAGACAGGACCTGAGAGGAGAAGGCAGAGCAAAAGGCAGGGCAAAATTTCTGTGATAAGAACTTGGGAGGAATCTGGATTTGAGGATTTGATTTGATTGATCTGATTATTTTATTTATTTGGCTCCCTAGATAAAAGGAGAAAGGAAGGCAAGGAGAGAAAGTCTGAGCAACATGACAATGAGGCCAAAGGACCTTTAAAAACAGAAGGCTGAGTAACTCCATTTTACACTGTGTGCATTGCTCCAACACTCTCTGCCTCATCAGCCTTCAGTAAAACCTGCTTCATACAGACAAGACTCAAAAAAGCGGAAATCTACGAGAGCTAAATTTTAAGTCTGGGTCAACTAAAGCCAGAGTTCACATAAGCTACAGGAACAGATATCAGCAGATGCAGAAAAATCCCAGCAGAAGGTAACTGCGAGCATCTAGTGTCCCGAGAGTTCCCAGAAATTTTGAGGAGGGTTTCTAGGAGGGATCTTTCCGCAGTTGTATGATGGTAGGAACTAAAAATACAAAGGCAGTCCCAATTCCCGTGTGCCTGAGTCGTGCCTCTCCATCACCTACGCCTGACTTCCGGTGGAAAGGGAAAGAGTCGTTGTCCAACAAGCCTTAAAAGAGCCAACCTTGTATATCTTGTTCGATCTCACTCCTCCACCTCTGAAGACAGGTCTTAACAAAGTTTATCTCCTCGTCTGTGACGGTTCGAGGAGCTGGCTGTGCAGGCATTTCCACTGAAGACCGGGAAGATGCAAGGGGCTTATTCATTGCCTTAGATTTGGGTAGAGAATCTTCAGGAGAAGAAAAGGTACCTTCAACATCCTGAGAAGAGCTTTCTTTACTTGTACTGAAGAAAGATAAAAATCGCATTTACATGATAATTTCCAAAATATGCCTTGGCCTCAATTAATGTGCTTTGTAATGCTAACAGCTGTATGTTAAAGTATTGCTATAATTTAGTGAATATTTGCTCTATAAAGGCACTGAGCCAAACCGTGTCTTTATATGCGTCATCTCATTTAGTTGCTTCTGAGGCAGATACTATTATCATCCCTAGTTCACCAATTACAAACCTAAGGTTTAGGTAAGTTAAACAACTTACCCAAGCTCACCCAGCTAGTAAATTATGGGACTTAAACCCAGATCTGTCTGAGTCTATGATTCATACTCTCTAACCACTTCTTTTAAGACGGGACATGAAAGAAGAGTTCAAAGAAGAGAAGACTGGCCTGGAAGAATCAAGGAACTACTACAGAGTTTCCACGATGCAGATGACTGAATAAAATATCCGGAAGCAACAAATAACAAATCCGGAAGTACAGACTTTTCCCCCAATGGGTTCTAGCGATTGTATTAGCCAGGACACACACAGCAAATCTGATCTGAGCTAAGAGAATACGAGGGCTCATGTGACTTGGCCTCCCGTTCCTTCTCAAGTAAGCCCCTCTCTACTGTCCTCTTCAATGTCTAGCAGTTCTTGAACATGTTTTAATAGTCTACTCATGAATAAATCTTTCCCTGAGGTTGACTTGGTTGAGCATCCTTCTCAGCAAGTGTGAGAATGAGAGGTTGTGGAAGATCAGGGATTGAGTGGCAGCTAGCTTACAGCTAGTTCAAAACAAGGTAGACTTGGTGGGGCATGAGCACCACTGCAGATCGTTCAAAAGGCCCCTGAAATAATCCCACCCATCCTGTGGGCAAGACAAGGGAGTGCCCTGGTGGGAATCGGGAACACTCCCACCCATGTGGGGGCAAACCTTTCCCTTTAAGACCAAGAAGTTGTAGCCCTTGCCCTCTAATGGGGTGAGTCTTTATCAGGTGGGAAGATGGTGCACAGTTCAAATTACACAAAAAATCCCAACATGTACTACCTTTTTTTTTTTCTAAGATTTTATTTTTAAGTAATCTCCCCACCCAACACGGGGCTTGAACCTTGAGATCAAGAGTGGCATGCTCCACCGAATGTGCCAGCCAGGTGCCCCGCCCCCCAATGTGTACTATTTTAAACATTTGTTTTCATTACCTTTCCTTGGATGCCAGGTCAGAAACTGGGCAGTGTGCTGAAGAAAGTGGTAACGTCATGCGCGCATCGCTTTGAGACGTGGAGCTTTCTGAGACAGGTTTTGTACTAGCAAATTCAATAACGTATTTCAGCATGTCCGGGAGTGGAAACCGAGCTGGGCCTGAGCCATACTTCACGTACCTAAGAGGCAAAGACAACGGTGCTCTACTGGCCAAGTCTGTCTAGTACTTTGTGGCTTGTTGACAAAACATCTGTGACCCTGTAGAGTCCACAGAAAGGCTTATTCCTAAAGGCTAGGCAGTATTCGATGCGTCACTCAAACAATCCATAAGGTGAGAATTCTCTACAAAAGTAAAAACTGGGAAGTCTATGTGTTTACACCTGGCAGAAAACATTTCAAATGGGCTCCTAATTGAAGTCATGTCTGTTACGCTTTCTCTTGATATCGTATCACATCTAGGCTCTGGTCAGAAAAGTAAATTCTATTTCTTAAAGGAAAACAGATATATTAGCAATACTCAAATGTGAAAATCACGCTGGTGTACTGGTACCCAGGGGTTTATTCTTTACTACCCTTAAGACCCCTACTTGGAAATTAAGAACAATGAGAGAAAGCTGGAAATGAAAAATAGGTGTTAATAAAGGTCAGAGTTGAAGAAAACTGGCAAATCTTTCTTCTGTAGGGTCCTCAGTACCCTATTATTCATGCACTCATTCAACAGCATAGGCCAGCCATAAATTATTGAAGATTTCTTTGGGATTAGTAAATAATAAATATCAATATATAACCAAAATAATTAACAAATTATTTTAATACTATCCAATATTCTGCCTTTACCAGCACATGTGAGACTCAATATAAATATGACCTTTAATAAACTCTGTAATTCACTACAGGGGACAGCATTTAAATAGTACTGGTTTACCAACTAAAATACGAAATAAATTTTGAACGGTGAAAAAAAAATAAATAAATAGTACTGGTTGACTGGCTGGTACAGGTGAACCCTATAATTATGGGGTTCCATTTACAAAGGGATAGAGAGGCACTTGGAAAGAAAGAAACACGTATAGAACTAAGAAGAAAGAAAATTGTGTCCATATCAAAAAGGACATTATGAAATGAGAATATCAGTGGGAAATATGCAGTTCAAAGTCAACCACACGTTAGAGGGTAGGTAGCAAAGACACTTTATCCTCACTAATTTGAAGAAGTAGAATTAGCAATTAGCCGTGGAGAGTGGCGGCTCTCACTGAAAAGGATGTCAAACACGTCAACTTAGAGGAAGCTTAGGAAACCATACTATTCCTTAGATGTATTTTCTTGTCTTTACTTCAGCTACTATGCTTATCTAACTAAACTCTACCTACCTTTCAAGATCTAGTTTCTCCATCAAGTCTTCCTCCACATCCTTCCCACCCCCCCAACTCCCCCCTCCCCCGCTGAACTTCTACAGGACAGGACCTGAACCTCGGGTCTATACCACAGACATGGCTAATAGGTCTTCAGAAGCACACAGTGTTAGTTGAAAGAACTAATTTACACATGACTGGCATGGACCAAAGGAAACATTTTCTCACTAGAAATGCAGCACAGATACAATGTGTCATTGGATCTTAAGTCATCATTTACAACCAGCACTTTAACACTTTATTTTTATTTTTTTTTTAAAGATTTTATTTATTTATTTGAGAGAGAGAGAATGAGAGATAGAGAGCACGAGAGGGAAGAGGGTCAGAGGGAGAAGCAGACTCCCTGCTGAGCAGGGAGCCTGATGTGGGACTCGATCCCGGGACTCCAGGATCATGACCTGAGCCGAAGGCAGTCGCTTAACCAACTGAGCCACCCAGGTGCCCCACTTTAACACTTTAATATATGATACTGATAACAAAACTTCAGGAAAAAATTTCCTCTAAGAAACTTATCTTCGATTTTCTGACATAATCACTGTCCTGTTCTAACTGAATTAATTCCTTTAGACCCACCACTTCATACAAGGCAGCACCTGTATTCGGTTAGTAGAATCTGAGCAAAAGTAGTTTCAAAAAATATGTCTACAGGGGCGCCTGGGTGGCTCAGTTGTTGAGCATCTGCCTTCAGCTCAGGTCATGATCCCAGGGTCCTGGGATCGAGCCCCTCATTGGGCTCCCTGCTCGGCAGGAAGCCTGCTTCTCCCTCTCCCACTCCCCCCGCTTGTGTTCCCTCTCTCACTCTGTCTCTCTCTGTCAAATAAATAAATAAAATCTTAAAAAAAAAAAGATGTCTACACTATATGCAAGAAATCTCATTTTTAATATTATATCGAGGTATCTTAGACAAGAAAGGGTGAACTTTTTGTTTAATGATGAAAGTAATGCACGTGCTGGTAAGAAAATTCAAATACGAGAGAGTGTAAAACAAATCACAAAACTTACCCGCTCACATCTCAGTTCTACTACCTACTGGTATTCACTAACAGTTCCTATATATTTTCCCAGGAGCAGGTCACACTTAGACAAGTGATTTTTTTTTTAAATTACCCAAATAAAATTATCTGAGATTTTAAAAGTTATTTTATTTATTTTAAAGATTGTATTTTTAAGTAATCTCTACACCCGACGTGGGGCTCGAACCTACAACCCTGAGATCAAGAGTCACATGCTCTACTGAGTCAGCCAGTCATAAATAAAATACATAAATAAATACATGAATAAAAAATCCACTTTATGTATTTTTTTAAGTAGTATCATACTACAGAAAATGCTCGTAGACTCTGTTTTAAAATCTAAAGTCAGAACGCCCTGTTGGTTACTGGCAAATTGACTTTTTCTATGTTATAATACATCAGGTATATTTGGTTCTATAAAAACAGTTACATTTTTCCAATCTTACGAAGCCATCACTAAAACCTTAAAGGTAAAATACAGCTGCAAGTCGAGTCCTGTAAATCACTTCCAGGATGGTATTTGAAGAATCAATCCTCAGCTTAAGTCTATATAAGACAAGTAGAGAACTGATCACTGAATACCTTGCATAAGTTCTTCCCAAGTGAGAGGCAGGAAGCTGGAGACGGGGACCTATGGGTGGGTGCAGGGTCTACCTTGGGCTGATATGGAAAGGGCTGCCTCTCAGGGAAATGAACGACCTCGCAATGGAGTGGGTAGAAATGGGGTGGTGGTGAAGTAGATAAAGGGGGGAAAGCCACTGACATTATATGGGATTTCCTTCTTAAATGCTAAATCAATGGGATCGATACATGGACTCCTCCTTAGGAAGTCACAGGGTGACTCCCAAGAAACAGTGGGAAAACGAATGGACAAAAAGGGAAAGATTCCTCAAGAGAGAGGACTTTGTCTGTGTCACAACTGTTAGCCCTTTGAATCATTGCGCACTAGCTCCAGGTAGAAAAGCACGGTTTTTGTTTTTTATCTTTCCCAGATCCTTAAGAAAACGCTTTCCCAAGATAGGGGTTGGAGTACTGTGACTGTTCTCTCTCTCTCGTGTTTGTGAAGAAGATGACGAAGGGAGGAGAAAAAGTAAAGGGCTATGAACTCAGAACCCGAGGTCCCTTTGTGCACTGCCAGGGACTGACCGTGTGACCCTGAGACCCGCCAGTCCTCGGGACGACTACTCGCCATGGATACTCTGGCTCCTCTTACAGACTGCTTCACGCTCGGAGAATTTTCCTTAGCTATTTTATAAAACACACTAGAGTTAATACTTAAAATCCAAATTAATTTTTAAATTTAAGCAAATTATCTCTTTTTAACGTTCTACTCTTTCACATGTCTAAGCACAAAGGGGTCACGACTCACCTTTCCAGTTTTTGCTGCAGAACTTTTATTTCCTCCTTCAACTTTCGAATACACTCTCTCTTACTTCGAATAAGCTCTTTGCTCTTGTACATGTACCTAAGCAAATGATAACACCACAAACACAATTTATATTTAAAAGCATTAATGGCACACAGTGCCAGCAAACCAGGGATACACGGGAACTTCCTCAAGCAGACAACGGGCTTCTATGAAAACATAGAGCTAAGATCATACTTAATGGTGAAAGACTGAAAGCTTTCCCCCTAAGATCAGGAATAATGCAAGGAGGTCCACTCTTGTCTCTCCTACTAAATGTTTTACTGGAGGCATGGACAGTGCAAGGAAGGAAGGAAGGAAGGGAGGGGAACGGGGGGAGGGAGGAGAGGCTTACAAAGGAAAAAGTAAAACTGCTTTTCATTGCAGAGATAATTTTTTATGCAGACATAATTATCTACGTAGAAAGTAACAAAGAACTTACAAAAATACATCAGAACTAGTAAGTGAGTTTAGTGAAGTCAAAAGATATAAAGTCAATTAAAAAAGAGAGAGGGGGAAAAAAATCTACTGCATCTCCGCATACTTGTGAAGAACAAATGGAAAGCAGAATTTTTTAGAAACCATTAGAACATCAAAAGCATGAATTATTTTGGTATAAATTTCCTCAGATATATGCAAGACATGTACACTAAAAATTACAAAACAATGTTGAGAGAAATTAATGATTTAAATAAATGGAACTATACCACGTTCATGGATTAAAGGACTCAAAATAGTTTCCCCAAACTGATCTACAGATTCAACATAATGCCAATCAAAATCACAATAGTCACTAGGTAGTAACTGACAAGCTTTTTTTTTTTTTTTTTTTAAGATTTTACTTATTTGACAGAGAGAGACACAGCGAGAGAGGGAACACAAGCAGGGGGAGTGGGAGAGGGAGAACCAGGCTTCCCGCCGAGCAGGGAGCCCGATGCGTGGCTCGATCCCAGGATCCTGGGATCATGACCTGAGCTGAACGCAGACGCCAAACGACTGAGCCACCCAGGCGCCACCTGGCAAGCTAATTCTAATACTTACCTAGAAATGGGAAGGATCAAAATAGCCAAAACAATTTTGAAAAAAAAAAAAAAAAAAGAACAAACTTGGAGGACTTACATGATCTGACGCCAAGTTTTACAATAAAGCCAAAGTAATCAAGACAATGTGTCACTGGCTTAAGATTAGATAACAGATAACACAGAAACTCCAGAAATAGACCCACAACTACATGCTCAATTTTTGACAAAAGTACCAAGGTAATTCAATGGGGGGAAATGATAATTGGACATCCACATGCCTTCCTCCCCTCCCCTAAAAAAAACAAAAACAAAAACAAAAGCCCTCATCTCATACTATATACAAAAATAAACCCTAATGGGTCATAGACATGAATATATGAATTAAAATTACGTAATTTGTGGCCTTGGGTTGGCAAAGAACACAAAAACACAAACTGTAAAAGAGAAACTGATACGTTAGATTTCATCAAAACTAAAAACTCACTGTCTCCTAAAGACACTGGTAAGAAAATGGAAGAGACAGCACAGATGGGGACTATGTGGTTCTGTATCCAAAATATATCAAAGAACTCACTCTTACTACTCAGGATGAACACAACCAACCCAATTAAAAAATGGACAAAAGATTTGAAAAGACACTTCACCAAAGAAAATATATAAATGACCTTTAATTAAGCACATGAAAAGAAGCTCAACATCAATAGTTATCAGGGAGATATATGTCAAAAGAAAAATATGATATTCCTACAAACCCGCTAGAATGGCTAAAATTTAAAAGACTGACAATTCCAATTATGGGCAGATTTGGAGCAAATGGAATTCTCATACGCTGCTGGTGGGAATGCAAAATCATACAGCCACTTTAGAAAGCAGTCTGGAAATTTCTTATACAATTCAACATACACTTTTCATACAACCCAGGAATCTCACTCCTAGGTGTTTTACCCAGAAGCACTAAAAACCACACCAACACTTTGGGGTGAATGTTCACAGCAGCTTTATTCATAATAGCCTATAACTGGATACATCTGAAATATCTGTTGACCAGTTAATGGAAAAAATACTGGAATATCACTATAGTGGGTTATTACTCAATATGGATGAATCCCCAAAACGTTATCCTTAGTGTAAGAAGACAACCACAACAGAGTGTGTTCTGAATACTAATATCACTATTGTGACATTCTAGAAATGGCAAAACTATAGGGCCAGGAAACAAGTCAAATGGTTGCTAGGGCCTGGGGTGGGGAAAGAGATTGACTGCAAGGGGTATGCGGGAACCTTCTGGGGGATGGAAATGTGCTATATCAAACTGTGCTGGTGGTTACTTGACTATAGACATTTGTCAAAACTCATTGGCTCTATACCTAAAGAATGGTAATATTGTTTCGTGTGTAAACTATACATCAATAAACAAGACTTTAAAAAGATTAAAAATCCTGTAATATAAGTGTATCTAGGAATTTTTTTTCAGGAATACAAACAGTACTGAGATTAGATGCAACACACTGTGGCCACTCCACATGCAGGGCTCTCACCTGAAGCCTAGCTACTCAAGCTGTGGTCCCAAGATGAAATGCATCATCAGCATCACCCTGAGAGCTTCTCAGAAATGCCAACTCTTGGGCCCCAACCTAGAGCCAGTGAATCCAGTGACTCTACATTTGCATATTATCAAGAGCACCAGGCGATTCCTATGCACAATACACTTAGTAAATGCTCCCTACTCCTTCTGTAATACACTAAGAAGACACTCAATCACAGAACTCACCTGTCCATATAAATGATCTGAGGAAATTCCAGCTTATTGTGAATTTTCTCTGGCTGACCAAGGGACTGATTGAACTCGAATCTTGAGAGTTCAAAGGTCAACACTGGAGGTAGCTTTGTAAACCAACGCTGTATCAGAAGCAGAAATATGAAAGAGAGAAGTAAATTTCAGGAAATAGCAAAAGCCAGATTTAAAGCATCCCTCATCAAACTTTCTTCTTCTGGTATAGAATTTATACTCAAATCCAATTGACCCTAGAAGTTTTTTTTTATCCCAAATACTAAAATGACCACTTAGCATCGTGCCCTCTCAGAGAACGTGGTTAAACATTCCTCAAGACTCCAAATTTACAAGCCAGTCAACAACATTTTATTTGACTATTATCCTCAGAAATACCCACCCTTAAGTAGGTGAGCTGCACCAAGAATCCTCACCATTTACTAAGTCATCAGTAGTCAAAACAGGGTCAAAAGCTGAAGAGAATGGCTAGCCTAACCAAAGAATCAGAAATTATGACCTAAGCAGCATATAACTAAGGAGCTAATTATCTCCATGAATCAGCTCAGAAGACTAATTATGTGTACATATATACTATTTATTTACAGCCTATTCACCATAATGTGAATCCTCTTCATTTTTAAAATAAGAAACTTGAAAGACCCTCATGATTATGAGTGCTCAAGTTTCTGAGAAAATCCCTGAATTCTAAGACTTATTATAGATGTCTCATAAGGGACCCAGTCAAATCAACCTAGGTTGTTACCTTGAGCTTCAAGAGAAGAAAGCACTGACTTACAAAAAAAGATCTCAACTGTTCCTGATCACAGATGAGGAAGAGCTAAACCAGGAGAGGCATTTCTGTTCAATTCACCTCTATGCCAGAGGTCTGCAAGAATAGCTTTAAGACGTTCCCTTTACCAAAGGAGCAAACAGCTAAGTTCCCTTTCCATGTTGGCATGAGGTGAATCCAGAGAGCCTGTCTGACTGCCCCAGGCTTAATCTAAATAAGCATAATGATTTTCTTTTCTTTTCTATTTATAGCATTCCCATTCTTCAATAAAGGTCTCCAGAGGTCTAAGTAGCTGGTGAACATCCCTTCTCTTTCGTAGAGCATGCATCAGCTGTGCACAGATGGGACAGATGTCCCATCCTGCCTCCCAGCCAGGAGTCCACACTGTCCTTGGAAAGCCAGGGGGGCACCGGCTCTCTCCCAGTGCTCATGCTGCCCAACAGCTCATGCACTGTGACACGGCTCGTGTCAGGCTCCCGACTGTAATTCAAAAAAGCTCTGCTTTCTCCGACAGTAATTACTGAGTTGGACTCACATAAGCCCACAGTTCTGTTTCAAAATGTATGATAAAGGAGAACAAGCCAAGCTGTGTGGTAGTGACAGTTATGTTCCAAATTCACTAATTCTTAACCCAACTGGAATCCTGAAGCATTAATTAACCCTTGCTGTCCCGCTAACTTCCCCCTTTCCTTCCGACCCACAAAAATAAATGAACGTTAAATTTGAAAAATTTTAAAAGCAAAGGCAGAATTTACTACGAAGAACAGTAAATATTATAATAGGGAAAATATTCTAAATGGCATACCATAGGAGTTAATCACTGTACTTTTACCCTCCGAAAATATGGAGGCAGTGGGTTCTCCCTACTGGTACAGGTAGGCTTCAACAGAAAAAGAGAAACTTGATCATACTTAAAACATCAGAAGCAGCATACAACCTTTATATGATTAACTCAAATTCATACTTTCAGCAAAGAATTTATTTATCAAACACTAAGACTGACTAACGCATATCAACTCATGAGAGACCTTCAGACTAGTTCAACATCTGTTATGTGTAAAGTTATTTAATATCTGATGGGAAGACAGTTTGCCAAAAAGCTCAGTTCTACTTAACTGGTTTTGTCACTGGCACAGCAAATAAAAATATCCAACTTACCTCTTGCCCGTACTTCAGCGAATGATCGGAAGGAAGCAGCTCAATGTCACCCTCCACCATGGCCCCTTCCAAACATTCGTCTAAGTTGCGATAACCATTTACCTGAAGGGGATACTGGCCGAAGGTCTCATTGTTACAAAAGGGCTTTCCTAGGCAAAGAAACAGATTGCTTTTTTAAAGACATCACTAGTATTATCTGAAGCCTTTTTTCTGGCACCACAGAAACAGCATCTTCTTAATTCAGCAACTTGCTGAGAACTGTCAGAAGCATACTTAAGCCTGTAGGGCAACTTCCAACGAATCATGGATCCAGGCACCGATCATGAGCGACTGCTACCATCACAAAAAGAAAGATGAGCAGACATTATGTGCCTCCTGATCAGAGACTATCCCATCTCTTGTGAAACAGTCTTGCCAAGAAAAGCCTTACCTGCATCTGGTCAAGCTTTAGATCCAACTACCAATTTATAAAAGAGGAGTAGAGAGGAACGTGAAATCATGGATATGCAAGCAGGAAAATTTCAGACTTTGGGGAATCTCAGAGAACAAACCACCTGGTTTCTTAAAAAATAACATTTCAAGGAAAAAAGAGACTGGGGGGGGGATAGTGTACAGATTTTGATAGGAGACTTAAAAGATATACAACTATATAAATGACCCACATTTAGATCCTGATTAAAACAAACTGTAAAAATAAAAACAACACCCATCCCCCCAATATATAAAATTATAAAACAACTTGGAAATCTGAACACTCACTAGATATTTGTTATTAAATGCTACTTTTTTGGAGTGAATAGTGGTATTGTATTGTTTTACAGAGAATACCAGAAGGGTATGAGAAGAAAGGAGTTAGGGAATGTCTGGCCATGAACTAAAGGTTGCTGAGTTCATGGGGGTTTTTAGACTGCTCTATCTGGATGATAAAAATTCTCCACAGTGAACAAAAAATTAAAATTACACATCCAACATGCAGCTTAGATAAGCCTCTAAAGCGGAGAAGTATTTTTGGCAGTCCAACTCAACAAAACCTTTTGAGATTAGATATTACATTGGAAAAAAACAACACAGAGAAAATTAAGTAGCATCACCGTGTCTGACGTTAATACGAGATTTGGGCCATGCGAATATTATACAATTTCATCTAACAACTGTAAACACTGTGCCCATTTTACAGATGAAGAGACTGAGGATCCAGGTACTCACACAGTTTGTCCATGTTACACACATACTAACAGGTAGAATCAATATTCAGACCTGGAAATGCCTGACTTGAAAGCCTTTTCGACTAATACAGATACAGTCACAAGTCTAGAACTAAGACAGCAGAGAATTTACCTTCACGAACCCCTTCAGTGAGGAAAGTACCGTAGAAAAGCTGCACCATTGGATTTTCAGATTTGTTCCTGGGATTGCTGCTTTAAAAAAAAAAAAGAAAACAGTACTCTATCATTTGGATCAGATAAGCACCACACTAAACCTAACCGTCATTCAAAAGCAAAAACAGTACATTTTCATAGATCTCCAAAGAGCTAGGCACGGTCCAAAATTAGTAATGGGCTGGTTCAGTTTAAACACTCATTGAGCAAATATACAGGCATGATCCCTGGCTGTGAGGAGCTGAGGGAGAGTCCTACATACCGAAAAATACATGTATCTGTATACATTCAATATATACATCTATAGCCAGCAACAGATGTATACAAATTCTAGAATAGGACAGAAGCAAGAATCAACCCTCTTGTGCAGTTTTGCAAATAAACACAAAAGTTTTCCCAGTGGCACAACAGAAACGGACAAGTCCACCTTAAATAAAGTGTTACTATGTAAGGTGCTATGTGCAAAGCTGTCTTATGATATACATTTTTCTTTGACTTAGAGTTAAAACAATTTAGAAAATTTCTCAGCATCTGTATTCGAAAGGGGATACTTGTATTCTTTGCCCTGAATTTCACTTCTGAAATTCATTTCAGTGACTGCAGTGACTAAATTTGATTTACCACATTCACATCTAGGATTGATTTGGCCTTTTTAATACATTCTGTAGCACAGGCCATGACTTTAACGAAGTTCAGAGTTATGGCCTGACTTTCAGCAAAAGGTGGCAGGCTGAGATGATTATCTACATCTTCAGAGAGAAAAACCAAAGGCGAGGAGGATACAGAGTGACAAGTATCGGAGTGGTTACCCCATGAAGTTTGGCAAAACCCAGCAATTTCTACTTGAGAAGAGTAACTTCCCACCATCATAGTTCTCGCTGGACCACTGTGAGTAGGAATTCGGGACAAACAAATCCTCAACACTCACTTAACATTCACAGCTAGCTGGAATGCGTCCTCTAGCCAATCCAGGAGCTTGTGTGTGAATTCACTCACATCTTGCTACAAGAGAGGCACAAATTGCATAAGAGTTAGACCCAACACTACACTTAGGGAAATGAAAATCTGCCCTTATCCCGCCAACGATTAAGACGGTATGACTATGGAAGGATTTGTTTATTAAGGACAAATAGCAGGAAGAGACGAGGAACCCTGGACCCCAGGCACTGCAGAAACAGAAGGCAGCCGCTGACTAGCTTGTGGCTAGGAGGGAACTGGAGTGCCATCACTTCGAGCCACATCTATTTGTAACAAATGGGGAACAAACAGAATCTTCCAGGTAGGCCTTAAAAAAAGAAAAAGAGAAAAAAGGTCCACAGAACAGACTCTAGTCCTCTAGAACAATATGAGATCTGAACGGAGAAAAGAGACTTTTATGAAATGTTTTGAGAATTTTGTAGAACCGTAGGACCTTTAGAGAAACAAAGGGAAATTTTAATTTTACGAGGCAGGTGCTATTCTACTGGTAACAGCTTTGTTTTTTAACAGAAGGTAGGGAAAGGAAAGCACTAATGTCTAGAAGCGAAAGATTGCTCGGAAAAGCTGCTCAACTTAGGTTTAGGTAATATTAAAAACAGGATTTTTATCTGGGCCATCCCAAGGCACAGGTGCAGACAGAGGGCTTTACTTTTGTCAGCAACCCTTTGCTGTGCTGCACCAAGTTATTTTCAACCTCCTCTCTACTCCAACAGCCCCTGTGTACTCCTAGTCCTGTGCAGTCACGTTCAGAGCTTACTGCACCGCTGACCCGAAGCCGCATCACAAGAACAGCAACGAGGCATGGCTTTAAACGTCGCAGAACTGGAGGGAAAACACAAGAATAACGGGCTTCCCGTACCTGCTGTTCCTCAGGTGATCGGAATGCTCCCTTTAAGAGATCCAGGGCTGCTGAAGGGTCTACAAATTTGCGATTTGATCCCATCATCAGAGCAAACAAATACTGAAGCTCTTGCATAAACACAATATTTCTCTTTTCCTGTAGAGACAGCAACGTGTCAGCAGCACACAACGAGACAGCAACCTAGATCTAGATCAGTGAGGACTCAAACCATCTCACAGGTCCTCTGATAAGGTCTGTGTAGGGGATTACCTTCAACTAAAGCTGTCTATGTGGAAGCCAGGAAGGGAATATCGTAGGAAAGGCAAAAACGTTTATCTTCTGAAGCTGCTGCCCTCCCTCCTATAAGGAAAATGCACCCCCAAGGTGAAATCCTGGCAAGGGTTAGATCGCTGGCAGGAGGCCACATCCTTGGGCAAGAGCCGAGTACAGAACCTTCTGGAAGGTGCACGCCTCCAGCATCAGCACAGGACGCCACACACACTTTCCGTGATTCAGAATTTCTGAATCTCCCTCCCAGAGGCAGAAAAGCGGAGGTCGTCAGGATGACTCGCCACTTTCTTGAAACTGTTTTTCTAATTTTATTCCTACTTAACTTTACATTTTTGCAAACCCCTGTTTCGTGTCACAAAGGAAAAAAGCCACTTGGGAATGAAAACAAATACTAGCGCAGCCAAAGGACATCACAGCTGTCAGCCTTGGCCAGAATTTAAAAGCCTTTGGGATGAGAGGGACCAAGCAAGCGGGAGTGAGGACTTCTCCACACCAACTTACCGTGTGACTCGGACAGTTTTCAAGCACATTCTGCGGTAGACTATAGCCGAGGACGAGTCTTCGAAATTCAGGCAGTTGAAAGAGAGACTGAAAGAAAGAAAGAGACTCGTAGCCTTTCTTTCAAATTAACTGCAGCAGAACGGTATCTCTTTTACCTTGAAAGTACGTGTGACTGTAACCTGCTATTTCTACCTCTATCCTGTCTGAGGGAATGATGGCTACGGTACAAACGAAGCTGACGGAATATTAATTCTTTTGGGAAAAACCCAGAAACAACATCATGGCTGACAAGAGAGACGGATTAAATAACGTATAGTATGTGTATACGATAGATCGTTATGTAGTCATTGAAATCAAGTTGTAAAAAAAAGCGTTTTCGTGAAATGGACTAGTACACAGCACTGAAAGTGAGTTCCCGAGAGCTGCAGGATCAACATGGAGGAATCTCAGAGCTATGTTCTGTGTGGAAGAAAGTTCCAGAAAAACAGAGTATTAAAGTGGTCATAGTAAGTTTAATTATATACAAAACAACATGGCATTTGGTGTAGGGATACCTGCCGGGGTGGTTTTATCTGCGGGGAAGGGAGGCTGTGACCAGGACGGGCACAGCAGGGACCCAGGGAGCTGTACCATTTCTTTCTAAAGCTGGGCAGTGAGCGCAGCAACGTGGGCTACTCTCCATTCTTCGTCACAAGAACTGTGTTTAAAAAAAAATTTTAACAGCAGGAATCTCCGGCTTACTTGTAAATCATACATAATCCCACTCTATCTTTTGAAGGTTAGTGTTTTTAAAAATCCCTTGTATGAATATAGCTCCTCATCCCAACACACTCCTCAGAGGAAAACCCCTCAGGAAAAGCCCCTCGGACCTCCTGGATGCCCCGGCGAGTACACTTTCCTCCTCAGGAAAGACCCAGATGAAAAACTCTGGAAGCAACATCCTGGGTGGACAACAGGCCTCTGGCTTCCCTCCCACTCTCCGAACCCACCAACAGGGTGAGCACACAACCAGGCGGTGCCTTTTTTTTTTTTTAAGATTTTGTTTATTTATGTATGTATGTATGTGTGTATGTGAGACAGAGAGAGAGAGAGAGAGAGAGAGAGAGAAACAGCATGAGAGGGGAGAGGGTCAGAGGGAGAAGCAGGCTTCCCGCTGAGCCAGGAGCCCAACACGGGACTCGATCCCAGAACTCCGGGATCATGACCTGAGCCGAAGGCAGTCGCTTAACCGACTGAGCCACCCAGGCGCCCCCTAGGCGGCACCTTTGCGCTCCTGCTGTTCCACCAACATTCTATGTGGAGCCAGAGCGAGACTGCTCTGCTCTCTACTCAGCCTGCTCTCTTCTCTTTCCACCTCACCTGTCCCCTCCTGCTGTGTCATTTGCGCTCTGCTGACTATGCCGTCACACGTCCCCGAAATTCTGCTCTGCCATGAGAAAACTGGCTTTACACTCCACTCTAACCCCTCTCCTTCAACCAAATCTGGCTTTCCCCCAAGACGCCGCCATTCTTAAAACCCCTCGACGTGTGAGCTGGTGACATTTCCCAACCCAGTATCCCTAGGACCCTCCAGCATCTGCTTCTTCTCCTGTGTCACTTAATTCCACCCCCCTCCTCTACTCATAAAGTTTAGAACTTTGGAAGAACCTTCGAATCCTGTCTCTTTCTTAACCATTCACAACCAATGAGGAAGAGGTCGCTTGGACTCTGCCTCTGGGGTGCTCCCTAGAACCCCCTCCTCCCTCCCATCCCTATGAAGTGTCCTCCTTGGTCTCTCCTCACTGCTCACCTGGGTCACCGCTCAGGGTCTCTCTGCCTCCAGGGCCTCCCCTGTACCAATTCACCTGCCACACGCGTTCCTCTGTCTTCCTAACAGGACTAAAATAAAGCTCCTGATTCATGGACCACCTGCCACAGGATAATAGCTCTCCTTCCTCTCCCAAGCCCTGTCCACACCCAACCCAAGAGGACATCCTGTTAGCTCTGCCCTCTGAATAAACTAGGAATCCAACCTCTTTGCCACTTCCATGGCTACTAGCCAGGTCCAGGCCACTGTCACCTGTCCCGTGGACAACTGCCGCAGCCCCCTGCAGTGTTCACTCCACCTGCCCCTCACCACCCCCATTCTGCTCTCCTCACATCAGCCACAGTGAGCCTTTTAAGATTCGGGTCAGAGTTCATCACTCCTCTGCTCAGAACCTGCAGTGACTCCCCTGCCTCACCTCCAGTGACTCTCCCCTCTGCTCCTCGTGTCTCAGCCCCTCGGACCTCCTGGACGCCCCGGGGAGTACACTGAGCCCACTCCCACCTAGGGGCCCTTGCTCTGGGGTTCCACCTGGAATGTTCTCCCCAGAAGCTGCCTGGCTCACTCCCTTGCCTTGCACGTATCTGGCACCTGCTCCAACCTCATCCCCTGGGCGAGGAGGCCTTACCTACCATAGCTTATACTGCGCCCTGCTCCAATCTCTCCTGCAGCAATTCTGGTCTCCCTGCCCTGATCTTGTTTCTATCACACCGATCACAACCTAACATGTCACATAAATTTAGCTACTTAATTAACTAGTTACTTTTGCAGTTTATTGTCTTGCCTCACAAAAATTTAAGTTCCATAAGGGTAAAGCCCCGTCTTGGTTCTATTCATTCCCTTATCAAGGGCCTAGAACAGGGCTAGACATGCAGGGGGTGTCCCACTAACGTTTGCTGAGGGAACACAAGCACATCCACCCAGCCCAGGGACCCTTGGCTTTACGAGCATCCTATCTCTAGTAACGCATTCCTCCATTCCATCTCTACACCCACATCTGAGGTCACACCCAGGATATGTCAATTCCTGAAACGAAGCCAATTCTCAGGCCACAAATTCAGAAAGGCCTGCTCTTGAACCATAACCTGCCTTCTGGCGTTCTTGATCCAAGTCCCCCGCAGGACATCTGTTCTTTGACTTCACCAAGGACCCGAGCAAATGGACGCTTCCTGTTTTCCCCTAACCACCAGCCCCTCCCTGTCTTCATTCCTCCCTCTCTCTAGCTTTGATTCCATGGTCTTTAACCATCCTTCACTAAATCCTCAACTTTCACTGAACCCAGCAAACCCTCCAACCTAAATAAATGTCATTTTCCACTTAAGAGTCTCAGAGGGCTGCGAAGAAAAAGTCCTGATAAAAAACAGGCCATACTGACATCACTGCGCATTTAAGGTCAACACCCTCAAGTAGACCTTCCAATTTGTAGAAATCCTACTACAGGGTCCTGGTGCCAACTGGTTTCCCACTGTCCGCGGTGACCCCCCCCCGAACACCCGATGCCGTCCCCTCTCCTCGGCCTCGGAAAATGGCTGCTCACGTCACAGACAGGATGATCGGAAATTACTTCAACTGTCATCTGCAGCCATCATGTCTTCCTTGCCCTCTCCCCTACTATTCTCCTGCCCCTCCTGCCCATTTCCTACTCAGGACCAATCCCTACCTCCAGGCTCCACATCCTGTCTTCTCAGGCTTCCTCAGAAACCTTTCTCAGTGATGCCCTCGGCTTCTTTCAACATCCCCACAGGTGTGAAGGCTGAGGAGGGTGTGAAGGCACGGAGGGTGCTCAACCTCTCTCCCCCCTCTCTCTGAAAGGACTGACTGATGTCCCTAACTCCACCTTCCTTCCGACATGCTATTCTCAACCCAGATGCTCGTCATCTTCTTAAAGCGGAAGTAGGATCACCTCACTTCTCTGCTCTAAACCTTCCAATACTTTCCCACCTCATAGACAATCCCTGAGTTCTCACCACGCCCAGCTCCCGCACCTCACCTCCACTACCTTTTGACCTCGTCACAGTCTGTTCCCTACCCTCGAGTTCTGCCCTCTTCCTGTTTCTCAACACATTAAGCAAGCTCCTGAACCTGGGTCTTTTTACTGGCTCTTCCCTGCCTGCTGCCCTTTCTGTAACTACAGGGCACATTCCATCCCCTCTCTCAGGCCTCTGCTCAAACGCCCACCGTATCAGAAAGGCCTCCTTCCCCGACCCGTTCCTCCCGCCCTCACTCATGTTTAGGGCACTTGGCCCCACCTGATATATATTTTACTGTCTGTCCCGCTCTTTTCAAAGGGAACTCTGAGAGCAACGGCTTCGATGTATTCGCTGCCATTTCCCTGGTGTGAACACAGCGTCAGGCACACAGTAGCTGAATGAATCTGGGTCCTATGTGTGGAAAGGGAGGCCTCCATTTCCGGCTGAGCAGCTGGGTAGATGTAAAATACCACGAAGGAGAAGACTGGCGGGGCAGGATCAAGTGCTGCACTGTGGCCATGACAAGTTTAAGGTGCCTGTGAGGTACTTCTAGAAAGGCAACCCTCTCTCTAGGGGAATTCATCCACTCCCTTGGCTTTATCACCCTCTATTTGCTACTGATTCCCAGAGCTGCATCTGTAGCCCAGATCTTTTTAACAAACTACAGGTTCATGTCGTTAACTGCCTACATGTTTCTTCATGTGGCATCTTAAACTCAGCGTGGGTAAAACTGAACTGAGATCCCACTCTTCACACACACCCAAACATTCTTCTTTTAGCGTCAAATGGCACTATCACCCACCTGGTTCCTCAAGCTAGAAACCTTGGAGTCTTTCTCAACTCTCAACCCTATATCCAACTGCTCCACCACATCCTGTAGATCCGATCTCCTACGCAGCTCTAGAATGCTTGTACTCTCCTTCCAACGCTTATGTAGCTTCTCTATTCCAGGCCGCCATCACTTCCTGCCTGAATATCTCTGACCGCCTCCCCACTGATGATTTCTCCTTACTAACTCTGGCTCTGCTCCAACATGTGATTCAGGAAATGCTGATCCAAAACACCTATTCAACATCTTTGCAACCCTATTCGCAACCACAGGATATTTTGTTTTTAGTACTGCCCAATCTGGACACCAGAGCATCTCAATCCAAACACAGGAAAGCAACCAAAACACAATAACGCCATGGGGAAAATAAAACACCCCAGTCTTATATATCTGTTTCCATTTTTTAAAAGCTATGTTTCTCACATTTCAGTTGAACAAATTACAAAGTTGTTCCCAGAAGACACAGTTGTCTCAAAAAATATCATACCTGAGGGGCACCTGGGTGGCTCAGTCAGTTAAGCGTCTGACTGGCTCAGGTCATGATCTCATGGTCCTGGGATTGAGCCCCGAGACAGGCTCCCTGCTCCATGAGGAATCTGCTTCTCCCTCAGCCTGTCGCTCCCCCTGCTTGTGTTCTCTCTCTCTCTTTCAAATAAATAAATAAAATCTTTTTAAAAAATATCATACCTGAATAACAGCACTAAACCAACATGTATTGCCAACATTCTTCAGCCCAACGGGCCACCCATCGACTCTCCTCCAGTCGTTAGGATTGGGATTTTCTCCCCAGACTTCACAGCGTTTTCTCTTGGAGCGTTTCGTTTCCGCAGAGGCTGCCTCGTGCATCCTGTATGGTGCCGACACACCACAAATCCAGAAAGGAAAAAGTTAAGGAGCAATGTATTATATATGGAGAATGCTGGTAATCTTTATTCCTGAATAGAGGTAGAATGTTGTTATTAAATGCTTTTTCTCTGTTTACTGAGATGATGATTCCTTTCAGCATCTTTGGATGCTGAATTATTATCTTCACAGATAATCCAAAATGCCAGATGAGCTATTTACTGGGTCATCGCTGGCTATACAGTAATTATAAAATTATAATGCAAGTGTAAAGTAAGATTTAGACATAGATGTTAATCCTTCCATGAGAGATTATTACTTACAAGGTCCATGATGGAACTGAGCTGACGCTCAAGCCTATTTATGGCTACGGTATTACAAGTTTTAGGTTTCAACAACAGTGCCCTATCTCAGACCTTGCCATTGAAAAAGGCAAGAGAGACACTCTGCTAACGATAAGAGCCTTTCAACGGCCTAGCACACAAAACCTGGCCCTATGTTTCCCTGAAAGAAACAACTCAGCGGTGTGAGGGAATAAACGTGTCCGGAAACTGACCAGCCACCACTGGAACTGGATGTTTACGAGCAATACTAATCACCAAATTAGCACCAATTCAAAAAAGATATCCCTGGTCACTCCTAAGACAGGGTAGTTGAGTGATAACTTTCATTTTCAAAGAGCTGACCACACGACCCTCGAAGTTTACAAAGGTTCCAGGTTGATAAAGGGAATACATACTGTCAGATGCTTGCACAAGGATGGGGTGTCTCTCCCCCGACCCCAGAAATTGTAAACTACAAAAGCCTACAGGCTTCTACTCAAAGACCACAGCTACTGTAAGGGCCTTATCATATTTGGCTTTGTCAAAAAAAATAAACCAAAGAATAAGTAAGCTAATGTGAATTTAAATTTTCTCCTAAAAGAAATTTCATTTGGATGCAATTAAAAGAACTTGGCAGAATGGTCCCTCAGTGGCATCCACAGCTATTACTGCCTTCGACCTAGACACTGATGTGGGGAGCAAAGATGACAAGTTACATCCATGACCTGTTCAGATCTCTTCCGTCAGCTTGAATTTTGGGGGATTCCAGTAGGCTCAAAGCAATGGCAGCTTGAAGATCATCTTTGTTATCATGGGTAAGGTCTATCACTTCTGTAAGAGAAATAGAAATTTAATTAGTCCACATGTAGGAAACAATGCCCTTCCGACTGTATGGTAGGAAAAAAGGCAAAAGCATTCACAAAACTCGATATGCTCCCTAGTTCTCATCTGTGGAACAACTTTATTACTCTGTGCCGGAGCCACAGGAGTAACTCACAGCTATATGGTAACCTTAAGACGAGCCAATGAGCCATGAAAATGGAATGAATACCCGCTTCTGCAGTCTTATTCCACAGAGTAAAAAATACATCCCATCTCTGTAGGTCAAGTCATCTCCTTACCTGTCATCATAAAACATCAGCTAAATATTGAACACTCAAGGCACAGAGATTTTCAATCTCACACAAACTATTCTGGAGAATAGAGGACATACTCCCCAAGTCATTTTATGAAACCAGCATAACACCTAGCTATAGCCCAAACCATCCAAGAATAGTAAGAGAAAGGAAAAACAACAAACTCACACACAATCGCAGATATATATAAAAAAAAAAAGGTATTAGCAAATAAAATCCAATAACGTACCCCCCAAAAATCAAAAATTAGGACCAAGTGGAGCTAAATGCAGAATGAAATACTGAGTTAACATGAGAAAATAGACCAGCAGAATATGCTGAAAGGAATCATCATCTCAGTAAATAGAGAAAAAGCATTTAATAACAACATTCTACCTCTATTCAGGAATAAAAACCCCAAGCCAACTGAGAAGAAAAGAGAATATTCGTAGGCTGAGAAAGAGTAACCATGAAAAGCCCACAGCATGGGGCGCCTGGATGGCTCAGTCATTAAGCGTCTGCCTTTGGCTCAGGTCATGATCCCAAGGGCCTGGGATCAAGTCCTGCATTGGGTTCCCTGCTTGGTGGGGAGCCTGCTTCTCCCTCTCCCACTCCCCCTGCTTATGTTCCCGCTCTGACTGTCTCTCTCTCTGTGTCAAATAAATAAGTAAAATCTTTAAAAAATTAAAAAATTAAAAAAAAAAGAAAAGCCCACAGCAAACTTTATACTTAATTTGAAATGTAAAACACATTTATTTTCAAATCAAGACAAAGACAAAAATGTCTACCATCAGGACTTTTATTCACCATGGTTCTGAATATTCTGGCCAATTCAATAAGAAAATAAAAGAAACTAGGGGCACCTGGGTGGCTCTGTAGGTTAAGTGTCTGACTCTTGGTTTCGGTCAAAGGACACCATCGAGAAAGTGGAAAGGGGGAAAAATTTTTCACAAATCATGTATGTGCTAAGACACCTACATATATGGAATATGTTTTAAAAACTCCTGCAAGAGAATAACAAAAAGAACAAATAGCCCAATATTAAAAACGGGCAAAGAATCTGAATAGACATTTCTCCAAAGAAGATATACGAATGGACAGTAAGTACATGTAAAGATGCTCAATATCATTAGCCATTAAGGAAATGCAAATCAAAAGCACAATGAGATACCATTCTGAACCCATTATGATAGCTATTATCAAAAACAAAAAACAAAACAGGAAAATACCAAATGTTGATGAGGATTTGGAGACATTGGAACCCCTGTGTGTTGTTGGTGAGAATACAAAATGACACAGCTGCTGTGGAAGTTTGAAGAACTGAGTTTGGCAGTCCTTCAAAAAGTTAAACATAAAGGTATGTCTGGGTGGCTCAATTGGTTAAGCGTTTGCCTTTGGCTCAGGTCATGATCCCAGAGTCCTGGGATTGCGACTAGCCTTGGGCTCCTTGCTCAGCAGGGAGCCTGCTTCTCCCTCTGCCTGCCACTCCCCTTGCTTGTGCCCCCCCACAAATAAATAAATAAAATCTTTTTTAAAAAAAGGATAAATATACAAAGCTTCAGGACAATTGGACTTAATAATGATTCCTTAGATATGACACCAAGAGCACTGGGAACAAAAATAAAAATTGACAAAAGGGACTCAATCAAAATTTAAAAAAACTTTTTTGTGCAGGAAAGGATAGAGCCAATAGAATAAAAAGGCAACCTAGAGAATGGGAGAAAACATTTGCCAATCATATACATGATAAAAGGGTTAATATCTAGAATCTATAAAGAATTCCTGCAACTCAATAACAAAATATAAAATAACCCAATTAAAAAATAGGTAAGGGACTTGAATAGACATTTCTCCAAAGATGACACACAAATGGCCAGCAAGCATATAAAAAGAGGTTCAGCATCACTAATCATCAAAGAAACTGCAAATCACAACCACAATGAGGTATCACCTCAAACTCATCAGGATGACTATTAAAAAAAAACACACACAAACAATAACAAGTGTTGGTGAAGATGTGGTGAGACTTGTGGACCGCTGATGCACCACTGGTGAGACTGTAAAATGGTGCAGCAACCACTATGGAAAACAGAACAGAGGTTTGTCAAAGAAATAAAAATAGACCGACCATCTGAGCCAGCCATCTCACTTCTGGGCATGCATCCAAAAGAACTGAAAGCAGGGTCTCGAAGAGCTATTTGCACCATCCATGTTCACAGCAGCACCATTCACAACAGCCAATCAGTGAAAGCAGCCCAAATATCAGCCGATGAATAAATGGGTAAACAACATGTGGTATCTAGATACAAGAGTATGACTCAGCCTTAAATAGGAAGGAAATTCTGATACGTGCTACAATACGAACCTTGAGGACATTACGCTGCGTGAAGTACGCTAGTCACAAAAGGACAAATACTGTGGGATTCCACTTAAAGGAGGTCCTCAGAGCAGTCAAAATCATACAAAGTAGGATGGTGGCTGCCGGGAGCTGAAGGGAGGGGGGATGCGGAATTATTGTTGAGTGGATACAGACTTCAGTTTTGCAAGATGAGAAAGTTCTGGAGATCTGTTTCATGACAAGACGAACATATTTAACACTCCTGAACTGTACGTTTAAAAATGGTTAAGAGGGTAAATTTTATGTATGTGTTGTTATCAACTAAGAAAAACAGAATCCCAACTAATAAATTATGAAATCTCCAATAAAATAAAAGAATGACAGCAACAATCACCCGTGGCTGCAGGAAACACTAGGTGGGGGATTATATAATAAATGCATCAAGCTGATAGTATTCTGAACACACTAACAATTTTAATGACACACAAAGAGGGCAATGGGATGTTCCCTGCTTCTTGGATATGACAAAAAAGAAGATACACTGTACACACGGCCCTACCTGTGACACAGTCGTGCCAATTAAGCACCTAAGTCTCTAGGAAAGACGGGACCGAAAAATCCACTGAAAGATACCACAGGAATGAAATCAGCAAATTTCAGGACATGTGAAATCTGAGAGAACAAAGGACTTGATTTCTTTGGACCTTAAAGTTGCAAGAAAAAAAGAGAGGGGGAAATAAAGAGTGTCTTATCTTTTTTTTTAAGAAAGAGAGTGAGCGAGAGAGAGCACGAGCGGAGAAGGGGCAGAGGGAGAGGGAGAAGCAGACTCCCCACTGAGCAGGGAGCCTGACACGGGGCTCGATCCCAGGACCCTGGGATCATGACCCGAGCTGAAGGCAGACGCTTAACCAACTGAACCACCCAAGCGCCCGTAAAGAGTGTCTTAAAAGACATTCAAATATATTTAATGTTTTAATGTCATCTGGATCATTATTTTCACAAACCGACTGCAAATATATTGTTAATGAGATGATCAGGGAGACTTCTACCCTGGTGTTTGAAATTAAGGAATTATTAATTTTTAAAATGTGATAATGTTGCAGCTATGAAAACAGTCCTCTTTTAGAAATATTAAAACAAGAAAGTTGGAGGTGCCTGGGTGGCTCAGTCAGTTAAGCATCTGTCTTTGGCTCAGGTCATGATCCCAGGGTCCTTGTATGGAGCCCCACATTGGGCTCCCTGCTCAGTGGGGTGTCTACTTCTCCCTCTCCCTCTGCTCCTCCCCCCCCAACTTGTACACAAGCACGCATGTGTTCTCTCTCTCAAATATATAAATAAAATCTAAAAAAACCACAACAAACAAAACAAAAAAAACCCAAGAAAGTTAAACACACGGCCCAGTAATTCCACTCACGGGTATATATCCTAAAGAATTAAAAATGGATACTTAGTGAAATAGAATGGGAAACATGAAAATCCAATATAACACAGAGCTGATACTGCAGATCAGTGGGTAAGTAAAGCCTTTTTAATAAAAGTATCCTTTAATACTAGGATAACTGCGTAGCTGTATCTGGCCGGAGGGTGGCAAGGAATCAAACTGTATCCTTACCTTATGCCTTGCCCCTTCCCCCAAAATCCACTTCAGATGAATTAAAGAATGTGAAAAGCAAAACATCAGGATTTTAAAATCCTATGACTTTAAGGTATAGAAGGAGTTCTTAAACAAAAAACACAAATCACAGAAAAAGACCAATAAATGCAACTACAATAAAATCTAGCTATTTAGTTCATCACCATAGTGTGAAAACACAAGTCACCAATAGGGAAAAGATGTCTGCAACACACAAATCCAAAAGAGTGGGTTAATATCAAATATATATAAGGTCAGTATCAAGAGATGTATCAAGAATAAGCTTATTATCAATAAGATAATATCAAGAATCAATCAGAAAAAAGCAAACAGAAAAATCGAGGCAGAAGACATAAAGAGAAATTTCACTTATAAGGAAACATGAATGGTCAAAAAGAACAAGATGTGCAATCTCATTACCAATGTAAAAAAATTCTCATTGAAAACAAGATATTTTGATATTTTTTATCAAAAATATGGGCAACAATTTTATAATTTAACAAGTTTTAGAGCAACAGTTATCCCCAAATCCTGTGACTGGGAATTTAATAAATAGTTAAAAAATCATTTTGGAGAATATAGCCTACAAAACTGAAGACAAGCGTATTTTACCACCTACCAATTACACTCCTAGGTATATACACTAAAGAAACTCCTGCATACATGTAATAGAAACACCAATCAAACAACTCACAGCAGCCTTTTTTATAATAGCAAAAAAAATAAAAAATAAAAATGGAAACAAACCCAAGTCAATAAACAAATACATAAATTGTGGTATATTCAGACCATGAAATACTATACACCATTCAAAGTAAAGGAACCATTTATAACCTTCAACAGGAATGAATTTTAAAAAGAAAAACGTTGGGGCACCTGAGTGACACAGTTGGTTAAGCGTCTAACTCTTGATTTTGGCTCAGGTCATGATCTCAGGGTTGTGAGATCGAGCCCCACATCAGGCGCTACACTCAGCACAGAGTCTGCTTGGGATTCTCTCTCTCTCCCTCTCTCTCTCCTTCTGCCCCTCCCCCCGGTGCAGGCGCATGCACACGCACGCGCTCTCTAAAAAAAGAAAAACTTTTACTGAAAAAAGAAAAACTTTTACTGAAGAGTCATTATTGTACTGAAAGAGATATACGAGGATATGAATATTCATAACATCATTATTCAGAATAGCTCAAAACTGCAAAAAGTCCAAATATCCATTAACTCCATCTGCCCTAGCTGATGGCTCCCTCTTCCAGGAAGTCTCCTTGGCTTCCAGAGTCCCATTCTCCCAGCTCTCCTGGTCTTCTTCCAATGTCCCTGGACACTGTTCACCTGCCCCGGCCTCTAAGCACTGGGTGTATCCACCGCTTAGTCACTGAACCTGTTCCCTTCCGTGCACCTCAACCCCTTGGAAAGCTCACCTGGTCCCCTAACTTCACATCCCATTCACAGGTTTACGATTCCAAGTTTTCTCTCCCTGCAGCTGGATCTCTCCCCGAGTCGCATGCTTGGATCCTCACTGCCTTTGCGACACTCCACCTGATGTCTAGCAGGCGCCTCAAACTCAGCATTTCCTTCATCTGCCACCCAGATCTGCTCTAGCGGCAGCCATTCCCAGGGTGCTTAGTGCAACTCCAGCATTTTTGCTGCTTAGGAAAAAACCTGGAGCTGCCTTTAAGTCCTCTCTCTTTCACACCCCTTATCTCGTAAGAAAATCCCACTCAGCAGATACTCCTCACCCTCCCACCACTACCCGCTAGCCCACATCGCCAGACCCTGCAAAGTGTCCTGACTGTCCAGGGCTCCCTGCTCTGACCCATGCTCATTACCTGCCCCTGCAATTCTGTTCTCAACAGAGCCGTCCGAATGACCTTTAGGAAATGGAAACAGGTGGATGTCATTCCTCTGCTCCAAGCTCTCCGCTGGCTAGTCTCTAGCTATAGGAAAAGCCAAGCACGCAATAAGTCTCTGCAGGACCTGCCTCCTGGTCCCTCCACGGCCTCACCTCTCACCCACTAAAGCCTGAGCTCCAGCCTCCTTGCTGTCCTTGAGCAGGTGGCGTACAGCCCTGTCTTAAGACCTCACTGACTCCTTCAGCTCCCTTTCACCTTCTCAGAAGGCCCCGCTAGTAAAAATCCAATTCCCACCGCTACTTTTTTCATTTCTTTCATTCCATCCTTTACTTTCCTCTACGGTACTTATCATTCTAATATGCCATATAATTTCCTCATTGATTTAGTGATCTCCCCCACGAGAATGTAAGCTACATGAAGGCAAGGATTCTGTTTATTTCCAGTGTTTAAAAGAGTGCTTGGCACATAGTAGGTGCTCATTAAATAAATGCAGAATGAATGAATGAATGAATGAATGAACTCATGTAATTGCTTAGAATTAGGCCTGGCACATAGTGATGGTTCAATAATTAGCTATGATTAGCACTATTCCAAAAGGGTTGATGTGATCGATAGGAAACTCACGTATTTTCTGCTAGTTCACAGCAGGACCAAGACAGCATATACTTACTTGCTAAAACTTCTTTGTTGGCAGCGCTGCCCTCTACTTCAGATGGTTCTGTAGCAACAGTGTCTTGACTGGGCTCTTTAACTCTTTCCTCGGTGAGAAGGCTGACTGCCTGGGTAATGTCACCATTACTGGCCTAAGGGAAAAAACAAAAACAAAAAACCCCAGAAATTTCAAAAGTAAAGCATCACAGCATTTAAAATAGTGAGTTAGTTTTTTGGTTTAACTCCTCACTACCCCAGCGACATTCTGAGTAAGTCAGGCCATAATTCTAGGGTAGGAAGTAGAAGAAAGACAGTATGGTGGAGGATAGCGAGTGCACCATGCTCAAAGCATCTATCAAACTCCTGGTTTACAGGAGGGGAGCCACCACGTTCCGATTTCCCACCCCATGCAAACAAGAATGAAATCTTGCTGAGATCTGGTCTCAGTAGCTCTGGCTGCTACTACTCCAATTTCACACGCTAGCTAAGGCATGGTGTGTCAAAAGGGGGCTGGCCATGAAAACAGAGAATCTAAATGAAGTCGGCCCCTACAGCAAACATGCCAAGCAGTTACCATATCCTATAGTGGTGATCACATTTCTATTTGTTTTTAACTTTTTATTCGGAAAACTTTCTAACATATACAACGGGAGAGGCAAAGGGAATGTATAGCTGAACCCCAGGCAGCCACCACTCACCTTCAACAAACAACAAGTCAGGCTCAAACTTACCTATTCCGCCTAACCTCTCCCAGACATTTTCAAACAAATCCTAAGCATCTTATCAGTACATCAGAACATATCTTTTCAAAAATATAACCCACAATGTCATTATCACACCGTAATAGTAACAAGTGTTTTAATATCAAATCACCAGCTCAAACTTGCCTAACTCAAAAGATTTTTTAGTGTGTGTGTGTGTGTGTGTGAGTCAGGATCCATATAAAGGCTACACAATGCAATTGGCTGATGCATTTCTTAAATCTCTTCTGCCCTGCAGGGTCCCCCCCAGTTGAGTCGCTCCCCATCCCCAACTTCTCCCCCACCTTATTGGGCCATTGATGATACTGGGTCATCTGACCTATAGAGCTCCTGTCCCTATATGCACTTTCATTTTGGCATAAAAACAGCTTGACCTGAGATAACTATGATATGGACAACTGTTTTAAAGCCTGTTGACTAACAGCGGCCTGAAACTAACCTTCAGAGCTTCATGAAGAAAGGAAGGGTCCTGAATGCCTGTGATTTCTCTTAGTTGGTTTAACAGCATTTGGCAGCTCTATATTTGAGAAACAAACAAACAAACAAAAAACAAAGACAGGTCAGTCACAAAGTAAAGCTGGATACGTTTAAAGAATTTAAGTACAGGTAACCTGGATAATCATGTTTGAGACGTGTATTTTACTTTAAGGAATCGAAAAGCTCCAAACAAGAAGGTACTGTCAGACACATTCTAAAATGCCAAATCTTGGGGCACCTGAGTGGCTCAGTTGGTTAAGCCTCTGGCTCTTGGTTTCAGCTTGGGTCACCATCTCGGGGTCATGGGATCAAGCCCCATGTCAGGCTCCACACTCGGCACAGTCTGCTTGGGATTCTCTCTCCCTCTCCCCCCCAACCCCCTAACGGTGGTTCTGTGCTCTTAGAAATAAACAAATAAATAAAATCTTTAAAAATAAATAAATAAAATAAGATAAAATAAAAATGCCAAATTTTTACTCTTTTAAAAGCTTAATCATGAAACATGCTTTTGGCACTTGTGGAAAAATTATGAGTAAACAATAAAACTATTAAGTATATAAAACACTTAAATGTAATATCTAGCTCTCGGAGTAGCTGAAAGTGCCTGAGGTTTTTCTTTCTGTGAGTAATACATAACTAGGTCATATAAGGAGTCCAGGGAATTTGCATGGATGTGAAGATGTGCTATTTTAAGCTTCACTGCACATGCCTTTTTTGTGTGTCATTTTTCACTGACAATAAATTTCTAATCACGTAATTAACAAATGATACCACCAACATCATATTTAAAACTACAGGTTTGATTGCTTAAAAAGAAGTATAGACAAAACTAAGATTTTCTGAATTATACATAAAATCCCAGAGGGAATAAACTGTGGAATGCTTTCCCGTCATTAATCGAAATCATGGAAAAACCTATCTTGTTAGCTTTCAGCCACCACAAGCTCAGTTTATAACCCCTTTGCACCTTTCAAATCTTCACTGGAACGTTTTACCTTGTTTTCACAAGGACAAAAGATGACATAAAACACCTAATTTTTATAAGCAAGTTCAATATAAAGAACTGGTTGGCTCAATTCTTTTAGATGATTATTGAAAACGAAATAGTTCAGGGGCGCCTGGGTGGCTCAGTGAGTTAAGCATCTGCCTTCAGCTCAGGTCATGATCTCGGGGTCCTGGGATGGAGCCCCACGTTGTGCTCCCTACTCGGTGGGGAACCTGCTTCTCCCTCTCCCTCTGCTTGTGCTCTCGCTCTCAAATAGATAAATAAAATCTTAAAAAAAAAAAGAAAGAAAACGAAATAGTTCAAATTTAATTCAGCGAGAGGGAATCATTCCTAAGGTTATTCTAGAATTAAGCCTCAATTCAATACTTGATGATTCCCATCAACTATCCTTCAGTTAGTAATACGTCTCCAAGAGGCAGTCTATGTTCACTGTCAGCTGTAACAGAAATAGTATCCTATGTTTTTCAACAGCTGAGTGCCCAATGCAACACTTAAATATCACACAACTAGAAATAACTAACTGAAACAGCCCTGCACAGTGCTCAGAAAAGCATCAACAGCCTTGCTGCTCTAGTCATGGGCCACGGTCATAGGCTAGAAATGGAACCCGACCCTGCTGAGACCAGCAGTCTTGGAGGCTACGAGTCTTGTCAAAGGCAGTCATTGCCTGTATACTGGGAGAGTGCTATCAGACTAAAAGGTGTCCAGATTTAGTCTTGGCTAATGCTGGAAACACAAGCATGGGATTTTCAGAATAATGTATTAAAAAGGTTTTGGGGGGGGCACCAGGGTGGCTCAGTCAGTTAAGCATCCCACTCCTGATTTCAGCTCAGGTCATGATCTCAGGGTCGTGAGAACGAGCCTCAAGTCATGTTTTGCGCTCAGTACGGACCTGAGACTCTCCCTCTGTGCGCACTCTCTCTAAAAAGAATAAAAACAAACTTTAAAAAATAAACAATAAAAATAAGGTTTTTCTTCTCCAAACAAATTCTAATTCTATTTTATTTTATTGTACAAAAGTGTGTGAATCTATGTATCTCAATCACATGCAATAGTCTAAAAAATCAAAATCAATATGCCCCCAAAAGGGTGGGATAATACAGACCTTCCTCAATGTATGGTGGGGTCACATGCCAGTAGACCCACTGTAAGCTGAAAATATCATTAAGCGGAAAATGCACTTAATACACCTAAGCTCCAAAACATCATAGCTCACCTAGCTGACCTTAGATGTGCTCAGAACACTTACATTAGCCCGCAGCGGGAGAAGGGCATCCAACACAAAGCCTATTTTATAATAAAGTGTTGAGTATCTCATGGGATGTATTGACTACTGTTCTGAAAGTGAAAACCGGAATGGTTGTAGGGGTGCAGAAGGGTTCTAAGTGTATTGGTTGCTGACCCTCAAGATCGAGTGGCTGACTGGCCCTGCCCAGCGTCACCAGAGAGGAGCATGTCGCATAGTGCTAGCCTGGGAAAAAGATCAAAATTTTAAATGCAGGGTATGGTTTCTACTGAATGTGTATCACTTCCACACCATTGTAAAGTCGAACGATCGTAAGTCAGGGACTGTCTATAATTGGGAGGAGGAAATGAGCAGCGATATTAGCCCTAAACTGGAACCAACAAGGTAGCAACAGGATTGACAACCATACCTTCACCTCAAACTACTCTGTGTACCAACTGACACTTAGGGTTCACAGAAAATAATGCCAAAAATAGCAGCTAACATAAGCTGCTTGCTTTCAGCCAGGTGTTGTTATAAACACTTCATTTGTATTAACTAATTTAACTAATTTCGCCTTCGTTAACAAAGCTGGGATAGGTGTTAGGCCCGTGTGACAGACAGCAGGCACGGGGAGGTCATGGCGCTTACACAAGGTTATTGCAAGTGAAGGGCTGCCTGCCTCCAGAGTCTGCACGCTATGCTGGGCTGTAACTGAGAAGACCAGGAAAACAGGCAAGAAAACCTATTTCGTGCAAAACCAGGCAATTATTTTGTTCCTGTATTGTGACCTGGGTCTCTGCAGCTTCCCAAGATCCCTGTGATCACAATCACGACTGATCACGTCGTGGTACGGTCAGTTCCAAAGCAGTCACTGTCAGGAAAGGGCTGTATCGGAGGTAAATGCTCTTTCTGACTGAATCTAAGGTGCCATTCGTTATAAGAAGCACACTTATTTTACGCGCCACTAAGGAGAAAAACGGTTGCCCACTTAAACTAGGACAGGATGCCTCCACGACGGTCCTAGGAGACACATGAATTGGTCACACCAGCTTCCTGCAGCTCTAAAATTCCTTATTCATGTTGAGAACTACAGCAGGTTTCCCTGTTTCCAGGTGCACTGCCCGGCATGTGACAAGCAGTTCTTTTGCGTGTTTCTCAGTGACAAAACCTAATATACCTAGGCTATCTTCCTTTCTTAGGTCCCATAAAACACTTGATTGTAGCTTTGCAAGAAAATATGAAACTGTGCTCATTCCTCCAGTGACAGGTATTTTGCCTCACATAAAATCAAATTTATACCCTGCTGTTCTGTTTCTATGCCTTTCTTCACCCAGTTTTTTTCCCACTTAAGCGTTGAATCACAGTGTGATCTTTTAAAGCGAAGAGTAAACTAACATGTGGTACCAACAGTACATATAACTCAACTGTCATGGCAGTAGGAACAGCTCTGACCAAGCCCATACATGTGCAGACAACGATTAAGTACATCACCTCTGCTATTTGGAGGTAGTAAATGTAAGGAGCATCTCAATTTCAGAGACCTCAGAATGCCAAATAAATATGAGTCAATGAAATACGGTATTCAAGTGTTAAAACAATTCACCAATCGTTATATTTGGCCATGGATTCAAGCTCCACTCCCCTTTCTCCACTTTGTAATAGATAAGCAGTGAAATACTGATACATCTACAATAGTACACACAGGGAAAGAAAATAAACTTGGTTTCCCCTTTTTAAAAGCTCCTGGGCGCAGATGACAACTATGTAAGATCATTTTGTACAACTCCAAGAATAATACTCTACCTGTTAATTCAAATCCAAACTCCTGATCTTGCTATTCATAGAATTATCTGATTCTACATTTAACCTGCTCAGTCTTTTCTCCTACTGGTTCTCTACAAAACAAATGCATCCTTTCTCATGCCTTCAAGTGTTACTTTCATTACCTCCAGGAATGCCTCCTACATTCTGGCAACCTACAGTCAAGGGCTATATTCATTTTACCTCCTCCTCAAAGTTGTCCCCAAGAACTCTGGTCCGCACTATTCTCTCCCTTTCTAATCTCCCATATTGAGGGAATCAATGAGCTTGTGAATGAAAGGGACTTCCCCGTCTTTACCTGGCATTTCTCATCATGTGGTTCTCTGTTTCAAATGTGAAATTCTTGCCGACGTAAAGGCAAGAATCATACAACATACTACCTAATCTGAGGGACAGTTCTGGCAACAGGTGGGAGGACGAACACATAAACACCCTCTTTGTAACAGGAACCTTTGTTGCCCCCGCATGCTTGCAATCCTTGTAACAACCCTAAAAGGTAGGAATCATCATCTTCATTGTGCAGATCAGGAAACTGGAGCTTACAAAACCTATTTTGTCACCAAATGTCTTGAATTAAAAGAAATTAGGGGCAGCTGAGTGGCTCAGTCAGTGAAGCGTCGACTCCTGATTTTGGCTCGGGTCATGATCTCAGGGTCGTGAGATGGAGCCCTGCCTCGGGCTCTGCACTCAGCTTGGAGGCGGCTTGGTGTTCTCTCTCCCTCTGCCCCTCCCCCTGCTAGCATGCATGTGCACGCTCATGCTCTCTCTCTCCCCTCTCAAATAAATAAATAAAATCTTTTTTTCAAAAAGAGAAATCAAAAGTAACTATTACGAGCCTGAGTAAATTTCACAAGGATTAAGCCATGCTATGACACACACAAACAGCTGCTATAACACGAGTCACTCTCATGAATGTTTAGCCAAACCTATGTTCTCTGTAGTCCCCTCAACCCAAATCTTAAAAAGTGCTCTATATGAAGTATTA